AAAAAAAAAAAGGGATATTTCAATCACCATCCATCTACTTTTCTCATTTATTTGCCCCCCTCCTATCCTATATCCACCCCTAAACGAGTGGAAACTACACACCCAAACTACCCCCCCTTTAACGAGTGAATATAAACTAACTATAAACTAAAGGTATAAGAGAACATGCAAAGAATAGGGAACTATCATCGAGGAGTCGAAAAAAAAAGAAACTCACAAGAATAGTCCTAAAAAAAGAAGGGGTAAGTCATAAAAGTGGTGAACGAAAGACGAGAAAAGAACAGTACAGCCGTATATAGGATTACAAAGATACATCAAAAATATAAAAAAAAGCAACCAAACGAATGTGTATATCGAACTCCTCCCGATGATATTGAAATAGAGAAAAACGCAAAAAGTAAAAAAAAACAATTTCTATAAGTATTTTAGTAAGAATGGAAATAGGAAAGAAGAAGGGTGAGAAGAGGGGAAGGATGTGATGAAAAACCAAAAACGAAGATTAAAAATACAGCTTCCTTTTTGTGAATGAAAAAAAAGTAACCGGGTGCGAATCCGTGAGTGTGCGTGATGAAAAAGAAAGGAAACGAACGCCATTTATTCTTCTTTTGTGTGCGTATGTACGTTCTTTCTTTTTGTCCCCTCGCTAATTGTGTGCATTAAAAGACTGCCAAGACAAAGATAATAAACAGAGCTTCAGAATCAGAGTATCGTCATTAATAATATTTTAAAGTGGAGATTGGAAATCAGGGCTTCTCGTTACTGACACCGCCGGACGTATCGGGCGGTGTCCTTGTTCCCGTTGCGGGAGCTGGCTTCTCGGCCTGCGCGGCTGAAGGATCTAAAGTATCTTTTGATACCTGTGACGGCTCCCTCGAAACCGGGATTGGGAATCCTCTATCCCCGCCTTCCGCTGGCTTCTCAATCGGGCTCCAACCACCAACACTGCCAGCAACTATACTGGGGACCATTGCAGCAGCCGCGAATGCGGAATTACTCCTCGATCGCTTCCTCCTGTGGCTACTAGGACTAGGCGGTGGGATCTGGGAGTTGTCGTCAGGTGAACCTGGTGGCTGGTGGGAGCTGGATTTCGACAATGGTAGAAGACGGTGTTTGATTTCCTTAGTCTTGAACTTCAAAGTATTGAGACGACCACCACGGATCATCTTGATGAACTGGAGCTCATGGCGGATATCCTCGATACCCTGGTTCCATTCGAATCGATGCTCATCATCGGAGACGAAGAGGTCCGGTGTTTTTCTATCCCTGTACATAGCCTTTGGTAGAATCTTCTTGAATACTGGATCGGGAATCAACCGGATGACAACACCAATCAGGAGAGAGATAGCACCAAGGATCAGGGAAATAGCCCATTGTGGTCCATCCAAGCGAACAACACGAAGAGCAGCACCGCCAACGAAGATGATCATGACTTGACCACCAACCATAATGACGTTGATAAAAATGAAGAACCAATTTCGGTGAAGGCCCTCAAAGATGTTGAACTTATTGTCAAGGCGACGATTGTTGTACTGATTGAAAATCTGCATCCAAACGAAAGTGTTGAATACGAGGGAAGATAGTTCTTCTCGCTTGTGTGGCTGGGTTAAATCGTAGCCCAAGATGCTTCCACCGGCAAAGTGAAGTACGAAGGTAACAACAAGTTGGTAGATGGCTTGTCCGATAATCATTTTCCACATATTAACCGTAATGAGAGGGGCAGACTTTCTTTGCGGAGGGCGGTTGAGAATATCTGGTGGTGGTGGATCAGTAGCAAGGGCCAACGCGGCGAAGGTATCCATGATCAAGTTAACCCAAAGAAGTTGGACGGCTCGGAGGACTGGCTGTTCATCATCAGAAGCAACAGCGGTGACGAAGGCAAGCAAGACGGCGGTGATATTGACGGTCAATTGGAACTGTATTTCATGATTAGTAAGAATCGGAATAGATTTAGAACTCGGTTTCTCTCTCCCTCACCTGCAAGAACTTCTTGACGGCATCGTTGACAGCACGACCCCACATGAGAGCTTTGACAATGGAAGAGAAGTTATCGTCCATCAATATGATAGCCGAAGCTTCCTTTGCAACCTCCGTACCACTATGTTTGATGTTAGCCAAGTAAAATGCTAATGGATGATCGGATCGACTACTTACGCAATACCCATGGAAAAACCGATATCAGCCATCTTCAATGCAGGCCCATCGTTGGTTCCATCACCAGTAACAGCAACGGTTTCACCCATTTCTTTGAGGTTCCTGACGAGGGTTTGCTTGTCTTCAGGGCTGGAACGAGCAAGAACCTGGAGCCGTGGAATGAGTTCTCGCATTTGGCTCTTGTTAAGACGCCTGAAATCCGGTCCCTCCATAACAAGACCACCTTCGGTATAGATACCACATTCGGTAGCAATTGCTTTTGCAGTAATAACATTATCGCCTGTAACCATACGAACGAAGACACCTGCCTTTTGACACTGCCTAACAGCCTCAGGAACACCGGGTCGGAGGGGATCCTGAATACCAACAAGACACAAGAAGGTCATCTCTCTGAAGATATCCGAAAATACCGCCTGCCTAGGGTCGTCCTCTTCTAGACGGGCGCCACGAGGAGGCCATTCGGTGAAATCGCGGTAGACAAGGCCAATGGTACGGAGGGAACGTTTAGCAAAACCGACAATAGAATCTTCAATGGCTTCGATTTCGGATCCGCTGAGCTGGACTTCAGAGAGCGCTGCCGATGGATCGGCGACAATCTTCGAGGTTTGCTTGAGAAGAATTTCGGAGGCACCCTTGACATAGAGACGATACTTTCCTGATGGAAGCTTGACAACTACGGCCATGCACTTGCGAGCGGAGTCGAATGGAACTAGTTGGGCTACGCTGGCACTGCTTTTTTCATGAGCGAGCGGTCCCATGCCGAGGTGGTCGCGTGCAAAACTAAGGAGTGCAGTTTCTGTTTTGGAACCGATAAACGCTGGTTTACCATCCTCTTCACCTTCGAAAGCCGTGCAGTTAACAGCGATGGACTGAAGAAGTAAGGTTTTGACCTCGTCAGAGATCTTGCTGTTGATTTCATTCATTGGCATTTCGTTATGCTTCTTGCCAACTCCTTCGCTCTGGGCCCCAAAGTTGAAATGCTTGCCCAAGACACCAGCTACCACGGTCATTTTGTTTTGTGTTAGAGTACCGGTTTTGTCAGAACATACTGTTGTAGCATTGCCCATGGTTTCACAAGATCGTAGAACACGGACCAAGTTGTTGTCTCTCAACATGCGAGTAGTAGCGAACGCCAATGCAAGTGTGACAGCCAACGGTAGACCTTCCGGAACCGCAACGACAACAATTGTGATAGCAGTAATAAGGATTTGAATGAATCGCTGGGCTTTCTCGTCTGCACTCCCTTCGAAATTCTTGAGATTGGCCAAAAACTTGATAAGGAGGACAACAAAGAGAAGGAGAGCAGCGGCACCGCCAATCTTGGCAATTCCTTCGGCAAGACCGTTCAATTTGACCTGGAGTGGCGTAGCTTCAACATCTTCTCGGAGAGCCATCATGATTTTTCCGTGACTGGAGTTTACACCAACGCTTGTGACGAGATATGTACCGACACCTTCTAAAACCTTTCCGCCAGAAAGAATGAACGGGTCGAGTTTCCTGATATTCGCACCAGCCATCATCTGAACCATGCATTCGTCGGCAGGGGTCTTCTTGATTTGGTCAATTTCTCCTGTGGCGGAACTTTCATCGCATTTGACGTTGTGCCCAGAAACAAACACACCATCGGCTGGGATCATGTCACCGGGTTCGAGGTAAAGGATGTCTCCAACAAGGATGTCATATACAGATATCTGAACAGCTTTACCGGATCGCATAGCCTTGACAGTACGATCCTCTTTCTTTTTGTTGAGTTTGACGAATTGCCGTTCCTTTTGCCAGTCGTTTCCCGCGCCGACAACCACGACAATTAAGACAGCGACGATAATTGCAACACCTTCCACCCACTCGACGTGAGCCTCCTTTGATTCAGGATTATTAGGGTTTCGACGAGCGCGTTTTTGAGCCTGGATTGTTTGGTAGATACCGAGAGCGAGAGAGATAACAGCGGCGGCAGAAAGCAAGATGAGGACCTTGTCTTGAAGAGCAATCCACATGAGCAAGAAAATGCTCTTGGCCTTCTTTTCGGGCAGGGTATTTCGTTTATATATCCGTATTCTGTCGGCGAAAGCCTGTTCCGATAATTGAGCCTGAGGAACCTCATCATCTGGAGTAGGCGGTGCCTCTGGAGCAATAGCATCCTCCTGCGTCTTTCCTTTGTACGCATTCAACTTCATCCTAGCTTCATCGATCGAGACATTCCCATCCAAGAGAGTTTCATCCAAACTGAGACCAGAGGTGACATTCGTCCTTAAGCCGTATTCCAAACCCTTCAAGCCACCCAGAGCTTTCAATGCAGGCATGCTTTTCGGGTTGATAATTTTATTCAGTTCACCCGGTGTAAAGGCGAATCTGTTGTCCTCGACCGTGAAGTCCTCCTCGGTCCCGGGATCAGGTCGCAATGCTTCCTCGTCGGAAATTTCAGCCGCAGAGGCATGAGCAATCGTGGTTCCACCATTGGAAGAGGTGGGAGATTGGACGTTCTTCTCGTCTATCGAATTCCCTCTCGAATCGGCACCGGGAACTTCAAGGAAGGGCTTTCCGGATCGCGAGGTAGGTTTTATCGACTCGTCTGTAGGTCCAAGAGTGCTGCTCTGTGGAGATACGGGACTCCCTTGTTCCTAGATTCGATGTTAGTTGTTTGTGTATCTACATACATGCATATACATAGTACAATACATATCGACATTAAACAAGGGCAGGAGCAGCAAACTTACAGGAACCGTAATCCTAGGAACCTCGGGCCTCGGGGAGCCCAAGGGTTGGCTTGGGTCCGACATAGTTTTTTTTTTTGTATAGTTGATTATTATCGCTGTTTATTGATTAAATTATGTAATGGATGTTGATGGATTGAGAAAGTTAGGCACACTATAGCGAAAGACTTGTTTAGCATTCTCGAACCGGGGTTATCTTTCTGATTTGATGTGAACTAGAATGGACAGTATGAAGTGGTTGTGCAGAGGGTGGTGACGATGTATGATGAGGTGAGCCGTTAGACTGTGGCTGTGTAGACTGGATTGCCTGACACCGCTTCTACAGAATGCAGGTGGCAGATATCCGATCGATAAGTCGCGACAGCAAACACAAAAAGGACGACCAGGAAGATCGATGGACAAAAAAAAAAAAAAAGGGGAGCTAGTTTGTTGGTTGATTTTTATCAAAGAAGTACTGATCAAGTACCTTGTAATGGTTGTAATGGATAGGAGAATACCTAAGTAGTATAGTGGAGTGGAGTGGAGCAAGTGAAGGGGAGTGGAGTGGAGTGGAGGGGGAGGGAACAAAGGAAACAAAGATAGACACAGACGGATCGGAGAGGGCAGAAGAGGCTGTTTATTGTGGGATCAACAGCACATCCACCTCATCGAACAGAACAAAACAGAACAGAACAGAACGTAACGTGCTCTCGTTCATTCAATCACTCACTAACCTCGAATATTCATCAGCTGGTGTGGAAGCCCCGAATCGACGACACAAAAATTCCACCAGGTCAAGGCCTTTCTCTCGAAAAGACGCCCGACGTCTGCAGTGGTATTGGTAGTAGCCAATTGATTGTCGTGATGGTGGTGAGTACTTTCTGTGTGCGAATATATCGTGTAACTTCAACGTTCCTCCGCTCCTTCCGACTAAACTATCTATCTACTGTTAGGGAGATATCCGGGAAAGAACGACTTCGATGATTATCGTAGGCCTGGCCATCTACGGGGAAGTCGAAACCGGAAAGGGAATCCACGTGTATTCCTTCGTATAAACTCGTGGACGCAGTCTCACGGTACTGTCGAGATTGTGTATTACAGTTTGTAAGTGTTGATCGATCCCAGCAGTATACTAAAATAAAATAAAATAAATAAAGAAATACGAGAATCCGGACTGATGAAGTATTTTATTTCAAGAGAGAAAAATCTGAAATCTGGAAAAAAGAGAAGGAGAATGAGAGACTGGAAGAGAATAATACAGAATACTTTCGAGTCGGAAAGGGATTGAGTGCAGCGGTGCAGCAGTACAGTCTGGTACGGTACGGTACAGTACAGTACGCCGCCAGATTGGGCTAGGAATTTTACATTAATATCAGGTACCTGACAACTCGCTGCCATCACTTACACAGCCCCAAAGCCAAGTCCCTTAGCCTATCACAGAAATCTCCTCGACCTCATAATGATTGCACTCAATCCAACCAGGCATGCATACAGACAGCCTACATTTCGCGCATCGTGGGTCATCCCCAGAAAATCTTGTTTCCATTAGTCTCTGGGTTATGAACTGGCCTTCACCTTGCGGAGCTGAGAGGAACCAAGATGTCGACTTGGCAGACACGTCTTTCCACTCATCGACCACCACCTTCTCCTCCACCACTGTGAAAGGAGATAATGTGCCTCTTGGTCCTCGTTTTTTTGCTTGCTTGCTCGCTCGATTGATTGATTGATGTTTCTCCTGTCCAATTTTTTCGGCAATTCATACCTTCCGGCCTCCCTTCCTGCCTGCTTCTTCTCACGGGACAGCGAACAAGCACATCTGCCTGATTGTTTGTCACGACAGGAGCATGCGACATACCTCCATCACTTCACGCATGCATACAAAGTATAATTCAACATCCCTTCAATCGATTAACACTTTTGTGTCTATGAGCTGCCAAATCGTCATTAGCAGACCTTGTACAGAGTCTGAGTCTTGAGCCTGGCCAGCCTTAACGGTCATAGTCGCGCGTCCATGCCCTTCCGTCCCTTGTCATCCTCGAGAAACGGCATGCCGCTAGACAACCTTCTTTTCTTCCTTTTGTGTACCCATGCCCCACAGTTCAACTCTTAAGCTTTCGTCTCGAATCCTATCCTAGGCTCGTCACTATCACCATTCTCAAAAGTCTTGACTTGTTTTTCAATTGATCGAAGAGGAAATTACCAAAATGCGTGCCAAGGACCATTCTCACTCCTGATTCCTAAAGAGCCTGGTTGGGCCTCAATCTGTGAAATCTTCAAAACAAACCCCGAGCTTCGGAAATTATCTTTTGTTTTCCCATGCAAATCCCTCTCTTGTTGGTTGTCACGCGATTCCCGCAACCAACTCACACAAGAATCGAGGCGTTTTGATTCAAAGAATTGGCATTACACATTGGACTTCATGTCGAAAATTTCTTTCGTTCCCTGAGAGATGGGAAACGTTGTTTATCTTGGTTTTTTTATTGGGCCCACCTGCTTTCCTGGATTTTCATGAACTGCTGCAGAAGCGAGAATCCATCAATGCCAGGCACAAGGTTTCGTCGACTGCGACTTCCAAAGCTGGTATGCACCTCCATACCAAGCTTAGTTCCAAGAGTCTTCCGTCGGAGAAGCTTAACCAGGGTGGAAAGTCTGAAAAATTGCTTAATTCTCCAGTCCTGTGTAATCTTTTATCGCCAAACCTGGCGCGTATGCAAATTGTGAAGGAAAAGGCAAGTCTTTTAAATATTTTTCTTCCCAACTACCCAGCAAATACGGTTTCGAAATTTATTCTCGAAGTCCTGGTCGAATCTTCGTTTTCGTGCGCTTACCTGGTAGCAAGGCTTCGCGAAAGGCAGCACTCCACCAACTCACCAATCCTTTCATGTCTAAGCGCCCTTCAAAGAAGCTTAAATTTTTCTTTTTTCCCGACTGAAAATGCACTAAGGTTTTAGCTTCCTTTCGCTAATGCAATGCACGGCCCTCTTTGATCCTTAGACCTTCACGATTTTATCACAGACACGTTTCAATCATTGACATGCCCAACAGCGATTTCGTGAGACACGTCCAAGCTACGTACATCGTTGCGTCGCTACGTCGTTGAGAACAAAAATTCCGTCAAGCTTCGATGGGCTGGATGATGACGCATGGCACGATGGAGTTAACATATGATACTTGTGCCACGGACGAACACGGCCAAGCATACCGCCTCGCATTGATTGCATACTCAATTTAAACTCTTAGCCAATAAATACCCAGACGAATTGAATTTGTCGCCAGGGCCAGGCTTTTAATATCAGCCAGCCAACCCAGGGGCACCATGGTTCACGATTCTTGCAATGCAGATCGCTGTGGCTTCGATGTCATTCTACCCCATGATTATATATTAACTGCTATGTATGAGCGAGATACAAAATTGGTGTGTGGTTAAGGCGCATGGGTGCTGGTAACATGCACTAGCTTTGAACAATACAGGTTTCGTTGGGAGGTCCCAAAACCGGTTCTGAATCTTAAACATCTTAAACATCTTCAACACGGATTATTTACACATGTAATGCGATGTACCTGGACATGCAAACCCCGATCCTTATCTTGATTGACATTTCGAGCTTAACTATAATTCGAAGAACAAGAGATACCAGTCAAATACACGATCGCTTCCCACGGGACAGTTACACCGGACGGGACAAGTGCCCGCCCAACCCGCTTGTAGCCTGTACATTTGTAAAACATTCAACGAAACAGGCTGTTCCACCAAGCAAGAATAGCCGGTTAGGTTTGCATCTTCTCCTCTCCTTTTTCCTCCTTTTTCTTCTTCCCTCAGTCCTTCGTTCTCAAGCGTATACGCGGGAGATATGAAAGGATTAAACCGTTTGTTGTGAAGTCGTCATTGTGCATTTCCTTAACCTTGCCGAACATGCAGCATTTGTTTTCCGATGCATTGGAGCTTCCACGCAAGTTCGTTTGAGGCTCCGCCCCCAGACCAGACCAGACCCATGGTACCCATCCAGCCCAATACATCGTAAATCCAGTGCGACAAACCTGTGCTATTCGATTCCCAACGTCTTGTTATATATCGAAAATAAAATGGAAAATTCAATGCAATTATTTTTTTGGTGGTGGTGTTGTATGAATTTGTATATTCGATTCTCCAACTCTCTACCTAACCCCCATCCAACCAATCCCCTCATATGCAGGTCTTCCTCAACCGCCAGACCGCAGATATTGAAAAATTACATATTATAAGATTACAGCTGATTTTATATAGCCATCCACCCCTCTTTCCCTAAAAACCAACCTCTTCCTCTTTTTAGTCCAACTTGATGTTGCCATCGGCTCCGGTGATCAATTCAATCTCTCCGGGGATGATGGTTCCATTCTCAATAGCCGCGGCGTGACCACGAGCGAGCTGACCGTAGACAGGGTAGTACTGATCCAACCACGGCAAGATCTATTATTTTCCGTTAGTTTAATCCTTAACTGCAGAATAAATCTGCGAGATCTTTTAAAAGAATGATAGAGGAATAGAAAGAACATACTGTAGAAGCACCAGGGTTGAAGTTCCAGTTCTTCATCAAATCGCAGACGATGTAGAAGAGCGAGACGATGTTAACACCGGCGTTACGCATTTGATCGTTGCTGATGTCACGGATCAATGGAGTGGTGGTTCCGGAAGCCTCAACGTTAGCCCAGACGCTGTATCCTTCTTGACGGAGAGCAAGAGAAAGGAATGTCGTGCCTATATAAATCGGATATTAGTTTGATTAGTTCCCAAATTGAAAGAAAAATGGGGAAATAAACATATTGAATTAGAGCAGGGAAACATACAAACATCCGTGACGATACCACCAACAATGACCTGAGTACGGTTGGTAGCCTTGATAGCGGCCCTGAAGTCGGCATTATCCCAAGCGCTAACTTGTCCGTTCCTCTGAATTAATGGAGCATCGGGGTACATCTCCAAGATCTCCTTTGGCAATGGTCCATTTGGTCCCTGTTGAGCAGAGGTGGTCATAACAACTGGGATATCAAAGATCTTGCCGAGAGCAGCGTGGGCCATCATGTTGCGGTAGTAGAGAGTGTGATCGAAGTCACGAGCGAGCTGGAAAAGTCCAACTTGGAGATCGAGGATGAGGAGAACGGCCTTATCGATCTCAAGACGCTCCCATGGGACCTTGACGGCGTTCGCGAGAGGATCATGTGGCTTGGTTGGCTTTTCAGTCTTGGTAGCCGCGGTGATGGCAGCGAAGCCGAGGAAGAGGATAGAGAAGAACTTCATTTTTGGGAAGTTTTTGTATATAAGACGCTCAACCGGTCAGAACTGGGGAATTTAGACTAGGAGCTTATTAGGAGGGGATCGATAAGATCTAGATCTCTAAAGCTATGTGGCTTATGGGTAACCAGCGGATGGCTTGCGATCTGGAGGATTGATCTGAAGATGATGTAGAAAAAAAGAAGTCTCGATAGACTGTCCTCCTGGGTTCTTTATATATCTTTTCCATGGTCGATCGAATCTACTGTCGGTCCCGCTATCGGCAATTGCTCCGGCTCTCGAGTCGGTGGCATATCATCAAGTTCCACGAATTGACGTCAAAAATACAAGCATGCTTGATCAGTAATGCTCGCGCCAATCCCAATTCCCAATCCCTCGATACCTTCTTTGAATTGGTAGTCTATGGTTTAGTAGGATACTAGTAGCTAACCTTTCTTTTCGCAATTTCCAATCACAAAGACCCCTGCGGCGACATTTTGCTATCCCAAATACTACCTAGAGCTCCAGGAAGACGTGGTATATTCCGCCAGGCAGGCAGGACAGGACAGGGCAGTTCCCATTGCGACACTCTCGTAGCCGCCCCACATGTTCGACTCCAAGTCCATAAGAATCGGCTTACTCCTTGTTCCCTAGGTCTTTACGTAGTATTTCCTACTCTCTTTAGACTAATTGGTGCAAAATATCAAGTAAATCCAAAATACCAAGACCAGGGAAAAAAGAAGGACTTGTGATTGACTGGAGGTTAAAGTTTCAACCTGAGTGTTTAGTAAGTATAGTAACCCCAGGCTGTGAACACTGACTAAACCCGCTATGCACCTAGCTTGGTATGCATCCGTGAACCGATTATCGATATGAGCTCTAGCGCTCCGAAGATGGGCAGTTGAATAGGGAAAATAGGGAATTTCATGCTGGGGTGGTTCTATGTGTAAAAGCGTTAGCCGATTACTCAACATGCACCTGCAGGGCCAGCGCGCCAGGATTATTTCGTTCACCACAAGATTTAGCACTGCGTCGGACTTTTTACGAACGGCTTTTTTACGAACGGGGGGGAGGAAAGATTTAATCCGGGTTGAAAAATGAAACTGGAGATATGCGTAAGCGGCTCTATCGAGACAATAGAAGAGGGTATTATCATGCATAATATCTATCATTCTTAGATAACGTAATGCAGTGGATTTAGAATCAGATTACGAAGAGTGTTAATAAGCCGGTTGAACATGCGTTGCGTTGCATAATGGTGCGGTCACACAAGATTCGATTCGATTCGAATGGTCTGTCTCCTTAAGCTCTTCCTCCCGAACATGCCAAAATTAAAAATTAAAAATTAAAGTAAACTTGCATGGACTGCAGCTCTGTGGAGCCTCGAGAGGCTCATTAGCAGCTAGCATGTCAAGTAAATACTAAGTCTGTAGTAAGTACATAGTAAATGTGGAGAGTGTACCCCCAAAGTTTGAATTCTCCCCACTCTGACTTGAACCGAATCCTCAAGCGGGTAAAACGGGAATAGGCAACATGCAACGTTGGCAGCGCGGCGGGAGGAACTCGTATCGGTATGGGGAATTACTTACTTACTGCTAGCCACTACGATCACAGCCAAAGATATAAAACTTCATCCGGCTTTGAACCAAATATGCTCCACTCTCATGGCTCCACAGCTTGAAAGGAAGGGAGGCGGATTGCATTGTTTACTAACTATTAAGTTGTAAAACAAAAACGGCCGGGACCCCGCTGTGGAGGAATTCCCAGACACTTCTTTTTTTTGGCCCTGTCCTCGTATAATTCATTTAATTCATTTACTCATCTGTAACCTACAACGGCCGTTTTATCACTTCGAGAAATGATCTTCAAATGACTTTGAAGCCGTTGGTCCACGAGGGTATGCAGAATTCGTTGAAACGTTGGCCCGCTGGCTGCAGCATGCACTGGATGATTGACAATCAATTGATCAATTGACTGATAGACGCTGTCAAATATTGAGCTTCCGTGTGCCCGTGCCGGCCGGGTACAGTTTAGCTTTTTACTCAGTATGATTAGAAGAGTTAACTCAGCAGCACGCTATGATTTTGAATTTGCATTACAAAGAAACTCGTGCTGTACTGTACGTTTCTTGCAGGGTTCGATGTTGAGTAAGCAGAAAATTAAAATTCCAACGCTTGGAAAATTTGGCCGACTGTGTTGAAGCCAGATGAAGGTTCTGCCTTGCCTTAGCTTAGCTCGTTAGTTTAAATGTTATCTGGGACCAGACTTGATGCGGGATGGATTTACAGGGTCCATCCGGCTCTGCAGCAGTGAAAGAGCGGCTCTTGGGTGTGGGCGGGCGGGTCAAGATAGTATCTAGATCGAGATATCGATTGTAATAATGGTTCTCTAAGGATGGGTGCATTGGAATCCCGTTCTACCGAACCAGGTATTTGGTAGACTCGCAACTGCGCGCCTCACGCCACTATCACCTTAGAATAAATTCATAAGAAAGGTTGATTGAACAATTAAATATATTGGAATGGAATGCCCTTCGAAAATCTTTATTATTCTCTTCAATCCATTTGCAAATCAATAGTCTATCCCAGGTTCTCTAAAGAAAAAAAGAAAGAAAAGTTCAAAAAAATCTACCCCGAAAAAAAAGCCATTATAAAATCCGCACCCGAGCAATTGCGACACCGGAGCTCTCTAATTCTCTCGATAACGGGATCCCTTCCATATGCTATAAGCTAACCATAACCTGGAGAGTAGCGAAACATAGTCCAAAGTTACTAATCAAGTTCCTCAAATGGTAGAAAGAAAGAAAGATAAAGAACAAACCGGCCAATAGGCAGAACAAATAAGGGGGAAAAACAAAAAAGCAAATTTACATCCAGAAAACACTAGTGAACGCCCGACATGCGATAATATGAAAATGCAATATTCGGTGTACACCAATATGGAAAGGGAAAGGTGATGATGATAGGGCTGGTGCGGTAAAGATGCTTAGGCGCCTCTAACCGCCGCACGTGGGGAAGCCGACACTGAATCCTTGTTGGGGACTTCCCTCATAAGTACTCCGATGTTCTTTGGCTCAATCATCAAAACTGATGCCTCGACCAAAAGTCTACCGTCTGCGTCAGCGCCAGGGGCTGGGAGCGACTCGAGTCTACCGGAGACCCAAGCCTTTCGTCCTTCGACTTTAGTGGTTTCCGCCTTAATGATAACGAACTGGTTGGCTTTACAGGGGGCACGATAATTGACATCCAGGTTGGCGGTCATGGCGATTTTGTTCGGAAGCGCGGGAAAGCAACAGCGGGCTAAGGTCTCATCCATCAATGTAGCCAATAGCCCACCATGGACGACACCAGGATGGCCGCACAGCTGCTCACCAACGTGCAGGATAGCGTATAGTTTCTTTCCCTCGCCATCTGCGAAGACCAAAGGAGGGACGGCAATCCTATCCGGACCGGTTAAAACACCAGCAGTAAGGACATTTGGGCGAAGAAGAGTAGGGATATCGAGATGAGGTCTGGTCTCGATGAGAGATGGATCATCACGAAACTTCTGGACAATAGGATGGTTCTGGATGTAGGCCTCGATTTGGAGGGTCCTCTCGTCTGAGACACCTTCTTCTGGGTGCATGGCCATACGGACAACCTCAGTTGCAACAATCATATCGGGTTCGTAGATAACGAGAGCGATAACGGAGCCGAAAGTTACAATTAGGATTCCACCAAGAACACGGCCGATAAAATGGAAAGACCGTTTGAAGAAAGAGGGAGGCTCTTGTATCTGGATCTTAACCGGAGCTAAAGAGTAATCGTGAATCATTAGCACAAGTAAAACGTAAAGGATGATATGCGATAGGAAGGCTATGTAACTTACGATTGCCGTCGCCACTGTCGTAGGTATGGGTGCGATATTGCTGCTTCTGGGGGGAGGTAGCTATACAACAGGGGTCAGTATATAGGTATATACACATTTAAATCTGGGGTAACATATAGCACACATACCGAAAGTTCGTGGGTATGATTTCAGTGACGCCTGAGCATAGATCCTCTGGGAAAGATTCTGAGCCCGAGTAGAATTTCGAAGAGTAGAATAAGTTTGTTTAGGAGCAATTGAGGTTCCTGCACGAAGCAATGATCTAGAAAGTAACCCAGCCATGTTGAAGGACAGGTGCCCCTTAAATAGAGCAATCCAAAGCTATCAGAGCTCTCTCAACAAAGTCAAGAGAGAATGAATGATAAGGATCTAGCTTAAGCGCCTGTTTCGTATGCTGAAAGCAACCGGTCCTAAAGCTAGAATAGCACAAAAACAGCTGTACGGCCGGGCTTAAACACCGAACGCCGACAGTATTTTGGGGAACAAGTTAGCATTAACCTAGCGCCGCGTAACATAGCAAACCGCATGATGCACCAGGCAGAATGGGACGGAGGGGATTCGTAAGGCCAATATTGTTGGGACAGGATCATACGGCCCGGCCGGTGTGGAACAGCTAGCTGGCTAACCTTTCGGAAGGGACTGGTGGGGGAGTCCGAGAGAGTTAATCCTGTGATAGAGTGTGTGGTTTGTGGTGTTTTGGGGGGAGAAACAAAAAATAATTTGGCCGGCCTGCAACCTACATTCAGCGCCAGAGAGCCGAGGTACTTTCCCAAAGCAGACTGCTCCCGACAGCAACGCCGGCCAGATGTGTTGAGACGGCGGAAAGACTAGGATGACAACGACGTCAATCGGCCTGTTTTAGGAATGATTGCCGGATCCTGGTTGATCGGGCAAATGGATGGCCGGCCCAAGACTCGCTTCAATGTTTAGCCGATGTGTTATTATTCCATTATTCTGTGCTCTGTCGTTGTCCTCTGCAGCCCTGTATGCGACCGTCTTTGTATGCACGTACAGGAGGGTGGATGTGTGTTGTGTGTTGCCATGAGGTCGGTCATGGAGGCCATCAGCCAATCATATCGCGCGGCAACACGTTCACCACGCGTTGCTGTTGCGGTCGGACCCCTGACTTCAATTACGTGCCCCGATTGGGAAGGCTATTTACTTCTCTTCCACCTTGTACGACATCCAACGACTCTTCTGAGCTCCCTCTCAAGCTCTCTATAGATCCATCCTTTCACCACCCTGCAACACTCTGTAAATAACCTGTTCAAATAGACAATGCCTGGCAGAACAAGACAACCGCGAGCCGCCTCTCAGCGCTCCCGTTTAAACCAACTCCTTCGCGGCCAAACTCAGAAAGCTGTGAAAGGCCAAATCGAACGGGAAGACTCCGATGACGAACTTGGCGATGAAGACATCCCCTGGACATGGGTCTACCCTGATAATGGCCCTCTCAGTCCCGTATCATCTAATAAAGCGCCTGCTGGTAGCCCGAATGCCAAAAAGCGTCGGAGGGATGGTTCGCCTGTCAATCAATCCGAGTCTATAGATGCAAAGCCGATTGGTGCAAAGATTGGTACCTTCGAATGCCGGATTGGAGATGCTATTCTTTTAAAAGCGGAAGGACAAAAGGCTGCTTGGGTCGGCCTTGCAGTTGACTTTGACACCATTGAGGACGAAATGCGGGCTCGTATAATGTGGTTTAGCAATCACTCCGAGATTCGAAACCGCACCAAGAAAAGGACAGATCATCTTCCGAACGAGCTCTATATTACCCCGACTTTCGACTGGAATCCCGTGGAATCCATCAATGGTAAAGCTGAAGTTCTCTCGGAGAAGGCATTCAAAGCAGAGTTTCCAAATGGGGTTCCGGCAAAGTCGCCGAAAAAAGGCAAAGTTTTCCTCTGCAGGAGGGCGTGTGACGTCCGTCCTGCTCGCTATTCTGAAGAATTCGACTGGGATGATCTATACTATGGTGAAACCACAGATTTGGAAAAGCTAAAGGATTGGGTTAAGGAAAACACATCTGCAAGATCTTCTAGAAAGTCAAAGGATACAGACTTCGAAATGCATGTTGACAGTTCTGAAGGGGAGGAGGATGGTGATTTTGACGAAGGGGCGTCTGGCGAAGATGAACTAAAAGCACCGAGGACCCCTCGAAAGAATAAGAAGCGCAGAAGATCTGTGACGACTCCGCGAGCAAAGCCCACGATTTCTAAAAAGCTCGTAACTCCGTCACATAGAAAGATCACGGCAAAGAAAGCCTTGACTTTCACGCCATTATCTCTAAGGACCATTTCGCCAGCCACACATCTTGCGAGTCCATACCAGATCGCACGAAACCGCCTCCACGTTTCCTCAGTTCCAGATTCTTTGCCGTGCCGTGAAACCGAGTTCGGCACAGTTTATGCCCATTTACATGATGCCATTACTACTGGTTCTGGCAGTTGTATCTATATCTCTGGTACGCCAGGGACGGGCAAGACTGCGACAGTTCGTGAAGTTATTGCCCAACTACAGGTCCAAGTGGAAGAAGAAGAAATCGAGGATTTTATCTTTCTTGAAATTAATGGGATGAAGATCACAGACCCACACCAAAGCTACTCTTTACTTTGGGAAGCGATTCAAGGTGACTCGGAAGGCCCAGCGAGAGTTGCACCGAATCACGCCTTGAATTTGCTCGAGAGAGAGTTTAGCACACCAAGTCCTAGAAGGGTTCCTATCGTCGTCTTGATGGATGAGTTGGACCAATTGGTGACAAAGAATCAGAGTGTGATGTACAACTTCTTCAACTGGCCCAGCATGACGCATAGTAGGTTAATTGTGCTTGCCGTGGCGAATACTATGGATCTGCCGGAGAGGACCCTAAGTAACAAAATCTCGAGTAGACTTGGTGAGTTTTGAATGTTTTGAATATCTTCACTCGTCTCTAGGCGCCGCTTATACGTATTTAGGCCTTACTCGAATTACGTTCCCTGGGTATACGCATGAACAACTAAAGAAAATTATCGAGTCTCGTCTTGAGGGCGTCCCTGGCAATATTGTCCAGCCCGATGCCATCCAGTTCGCTGCCCGTAAAGTAGCGGCTGTTAGTGGTGATGCTAGGAGAGCTTTAGATATCTGTCGACGGGCGGTGGAACTTGTTGAGCAGACTAATTCCGATGTAGTACCACCAACACCGTCGAAGTCTGGTAGAGGAAAGGTTGCTGGAGCTGTGGTTCCTGGGCCGGCAAAGGTTACCATTCAGACGGTAATTAAAGCTATCAACGAGGCGACTCACTCTCCGCTACAGATGTACCTGAAGAGCCTGCCGCTCAGCGCCAAAGTATTGCTTGCCGCAATTCTCGGACGGATGAGACGATCTGGAGTGAACGAGAACATCATGGCGGATGTGATTGAGGATGCCGAAACGCTAGTCAGAATGACCGCTAGTGCGAATGTTACTGAAGCTTTGCTGGCTAGAGATGGTGTTAATGTAGGGGATAAGAAGGAAGATAACATGTTCTTGACACCCAGAAAGGGCGGAAGGGCGCAGACGTATCGACCCGGTGATGAAGACCTTCCGAGAGTAAAGGGTTTAGTGTCTGCCGCAATGGGTTTAGCAGAAGGGGGTATTCTGGGGCTGGAAATGGGGAGGAGAGGGGAGAGGGCTGGGAGAGTGAGGTTGAATATTGGCGAGGAGGAAGTAAAGGCTGCATTGAAGGATGATCCTGATGTTGGGGGTATGGGATTTAACGGTTAGAATTAGAAATATACGCCACGAAGTGGTATTTACGAAGGAGTATGGTAGAATTTACAAGATTATCTGTATATAGTTGCTTTTATTAGAAGCCTTATGAGGTTTCCAGATTCCACCTAACTATAGCATCTAATAAGATACTTAGCTAGTGTTTAACTTTTATGAATTAAGTACTAGTATTGATCTTATTCTCAAACAGACTTCCAGGGGAAGTACTATATTAATATCAAGTCTAGATGGACTTTATTAGGTATTTACATATGCGTATACATGGGGCCGAAGTAACCGGCGACTTGAAAATATACAGGCCTAGCAGACTAGCCCCTCACTAGATCTCCAAGCCTTCGTCTAAACTTATATCCTTACAGACAGCTAGGCACTATGTACTTCTTCAGATCTGCATAAAAGTGAAGGCATCGTTGCCTCGCGTCGTCTCGTAGCCTGGTACGTGAATAAAACATCTAATAGGCACCTGACCTAGGCATGCCAGAGCGTATTTACTGGCAGACCAGTAATTTGCAAGGGTAGAAATGTTTCCTGCTAAGTAAATCTAGAACCAGCCAGCGTCAGGCTGCCAAGTCGATGCATTTTGGATAGGAGCCATGGTATATAATTGAGGGGATACGTGGTCCGTGGTCTTCGTGTCACGTATAGAAATGATGCCTGAAATCAGTTGAAATCTCGTGTTGACTATACTAAAATGCAACGATGCTAGCAAATCCAACAGCAACAGCACACAACCAACCCAAACCAACCCAAACCAACTAACCACCTTCGCCTTCCCCAGCGCTGCTTTGAATTAGCATTGCATTGCATTGTTCATATTATCATCCTTCTCGGGCTCACCACCCAGACACTTCTCAACCATCTCAAATTCATCCTGGGTTCATCATTCATCATATTCGGCTTCATTCCCAGTTCCCTTGTCCTCATCTCAGTTGCTTCCTCTTCTTATCACATTAGATACAAGCATTCACATAAGTTCGAGCTGCTGTGAATCTGTCACCGTTGATATCAATATCTCGACTCTAATCACCATCACCAACAAGCTGATTGAAAGAAGGCCACCAACAGGTACTCCGTCATGATGCAGCGTAGTTGGTACAAGAATATAGTACCTCCGCCAGGCTCGGAGGCCGGAACTTCCATGACGGATGCCAGTTCTCTTCCCCAAGACCCTGGTACATTCCATTTCGCTAAATTATCACCTTTTTTTACTTATTTGCTAACCGCTCTTGTGAACCTGCAGAGTTCGCAAACGCAAATATTTGGAACGAGGACAATGTTCCTACTGAAGCTGAACTTCAAGCACAAGGCGAACGAAAGGCTGAAGAGGTTGACAAGTAAGTGAGATTCAGGTGCTTTTTATGACAACTCTAGCTATTTCTAACCTTATTTCGCCGTCAAGATGGATTCAAGACCTCTATCAAGAGAATTCGGATGTCCATAAAGCTGTTGAAGAGGGTATTCGTACCACAGATATCACTCGTCAGTTTTACGAGGAAGCACCACTTATCACCGCTCCACCAACTCCGGAGCCTTCATCCGATCAGGAGCAGGCACAGGCTTCCAGTAGCCGAATCCTGACGTTTGGAGAGATAAGAAAAGACCGACAAAATGTCCAAGGCGAGGCAGCCCGCTTTCCTGCTCCAGGAAGAGTTGCTCCAGAGATCTCTACCCGTAAGAAGGGGAAGAATCGTAAGGCTCAACCCCAGGTTCAAGAAGTACGGATCAAGCCTGCACAGGCTCTAGCACCACAGATCCAACCAAATCGAGTCGAGTCCCAGCCGTCATTTGAACAAAATGCGGAACAGCCTGCGCCAGTACAACCTCGCAAGTTTGAGGGCCCAACCCATGATGTGCGAAAGATGAACTATGGTGACAATTGTGCCCGAGAAAACCCTACTGGGCCTACTGGCAAGTTTTACCTCCCTGTGAAAATATTTCGAAGAGTATTAACATAATTTCTCTATGCTACTCACAGACTACTATCTTTTCCCGGTCAGAGCAGCAGAAAAACCACCGCAGAGCAAAAGAGACAGATACGCCCCCCCAGACATGGAAACAAGAATCATTGGTGCCGAGCGCCACCACATTCTTGCCATCGCCGATGTCACGGGCACTCATATCAAGTTTCCTCAAGATGATCCTCAAGACTTCAACCATGAGACGGGGGCTCTCTCCAACGTACGTTGAATCACCAACCATCTAGACTATGACCCGGCCGCTAATAATTTCTCATTGTAAATAGAGGGTCAGAATTTGGGGAGCACATAGCGACGTTGAGAAGGCGAAGGTTTATCTCATGTATTTGAACAAGCATGCAGACAAAGATGTCCAATCAGCCACGAAAAAGGCCTTGGGTTGGGCTAAGGTCAAAGCTCTCCCAGGTCAACGTCATCGCGACGCTGCCACAAAGCAGGAGAAGGAGCAACAAGAAAAAAATCGATACAAACTCCCTTCCAAGGATGACGAGAATTTTCCTTTCACCGGTGCATTCGCCTGGCCACAGACGGAAGTCAACCCTGCGGATGTCTTGGGGATGAACTACGAATCGTTGGATCCTGTCCGACATGACAACGGGGTTTATATTGTCTACTCATATAAGAGACATTGTTTCCGCGTCCTTGGGTATAGCCAAGAATCAATCGACAGGGCTTTGGACCGCATCTACGTCGTCTTTTGTGAAATTGCTGCCCGGAACCGCCCCCAAATCAACTACACCTTGATCCAACCACCTCGGGTTTATTGCCCTCAGGTTTCCATGGACCCGGAACATGGCCTTGGTCGCATTATTGATGCATACAAGCCTTCATACGATTCAGCTGGAGTTGAGGCACGTCTCGCAGATGATGGGACTTTGGATCATGCGCCGAACTGGGAAGCCAAAAGGCAGACACTTTCTCTAGCCAATGATTCCTACATCAGAGCCGCCTTGGATAACTGCTTAAAGGATTTGAACTACTTACGAATGTATGCGAAACTTCGCATCTATTTCGGAAGCTTGATTCTTTTCGGGTACAGACGTCCTAAGTATACATTGCATGCTGCAGAGGAATTCAGGGAGATGATGAAGGCGAAATTGGCAAAGAACGAGCTTGTCAGACAGTAAGGATATTTTAATGGTAATTTCTAAGAAAGCATATATGCTGACTGATTTATTGCGACTAGTATCGGAAGCGCTGAAGCCGGCCATAGATTGCGAGACTATTGTGATTCTTTTTGCTACCCATTGTCCAACTCTGCATCGAGTACTGCTGTTCTCAGTCCTGCGAATTCAAGGGATGCAGAGGGAGTTATGGAGCCTGATTATTCGACATCAATGTACCTGCTTGTTAATCGCAGGCCGGATCCAGTTTTCGAGCTAAAATTAGAAGTCGATTTTCGCAAATCTCCAACAGGCGCATACACGGTTGCTGCTCGTCGATGGCTTCGCATTCCCAGAACTGAAACTAATGGTTCAAATTCTGTTACCAAGAAGCGGATGCCATTGGACCTAAAGGTTGTCAACCTTGATATGGGGGTCGCTTATCAGTTCGATCTCACCTTGGGGCAACCATTCATTGATTTTGACAAGATGCCTATTTTGAACGAGTTCGTTCTTCATCTAGAGCTTGTTAACTCTAGAGATGGAGGGAATAAACGTGTTTCATACATACAACTTCCAGGTATCAAGGTCACTAATATCATCACCAAGACGAGATATCCATATTATTTCGTCGGATCACATTATATATTTGAAATAACTCAATATGAGCACATCAGAGCAAACGAGGAAGGTAATCGCAACCCGGCCGCCAACTTGCCCTCTGGTGGCTTCCCGGCGGACTACTCTCACCATTCAACCACCGATACCCTTTGGGGCGCGAGTGTTTATAACAAGGAATGGGATGCGGCTTTCGCAAAACAGGTCGACTTGCCAATCGGGTATGCTGGGGATTGGCAACCTAGCGTTGAGTCATTCTTGGGTGATACTGGAAAGAAGATCTTCGATCATGGGATGGAGGGCAAAGGAGGTGATTCGGATGAAACGAAAACTGTAGATGGGTTCTCAGAGTTACTGCAAAAGATTGAATTTGGTGTTAAGGCTTTCTACGAGGTCAAGAAGATGGTGTTTGGAGACCAGACAAGAAAGTTTATCAAGTTTGATGCTCGAGGTGAGAGAGCGACCCCACCACCAATTCAACGACCAACTCAGCACCCGCAACCAGAGATGGTAGTCCATGGGATTGACAGGCAACAATCTGGGTTTGAGAGCCAGCCTCTTACTGGCCTATCTGAAAGCGCGGGCGATAAAGAGTACGAATTCGATGAGCCAGCTGAGGATATATACAAAGGCATGACAGCAGGACAACGTTTGGCAATGAAGTTGGGCCGTACCAAACCAAATCCTGTAACCGCCGCCAAATCCGCAGCTTACTCTATCTACGGGGACTCAGAGTACTCTCAAGCGGTTAAAGAAAGGGAAGGGCTGTTCAATGGTTCGGACTTAATCTATGAAGAGGAGGATGATGATTCACTGTATACGCCACCGCCGAGCAGAAGTCTAGGAGGTCGATCTCGAGGGATATTGAGTTCGGAATATGGGGATTCAGAGTTTTCTGCCGAAGCCAAAGAGAGGGAAGGATTGCATTGAAATTATTGTCGGCTCTGTCCCGTTTTGCTCCTAGCATTGAGTGTTTCCACTCTTGACTCCGTGGTAAGATATGTGGAGACTTGCCGGCGGGACTGATGAAGGTCCCGTCGCAGGAGATAATATCACTGTTAATATGCGTATTTGTATTTCCTCTTAGCACGGCGTGTACTCAGCAAAGCTAAGATCTGTTTGTACTCCTGTTATTCCCCCATTTTTTTCTTCACTTCTGTTTTTTCATTCATTACTGGGAGGCGCCTCGCCACCGCCATTAGCAGAATCCACGAGAATTCAAGGATACTTCTACAATAATTTTCTATATACACTATAGGGCAATTCGATATGCCCATAAAACTGTCGTCTTCTCCTAGACTGAGATGGAATTGATTATGAAGTCGAGGTAGCGGCATTTGCCTGTAGAACCTTCTGTCGTAATACTGTCGTTGGAACCCTGTTAGCACATGCATACAACTCACCCCCAATGGTATCCGGTTAGATGACAGCTTACCATCCTCAACGACTTTGACATTCTGTGTCTTCTGAGTTATAATCTTTTCCAGATCGTCCAGGTTATTTCCAACCGTTTTGATCTTGTCGTTGTAGAAAGCTATCGCCTTCTCTGTTGTTTTTTCGACGTAGTAGCCAGTTCCAACATCTACCAGGACGTTGCCCGGGTCCTCCAACGTCCCGGGGACATATAGGGACTGTGTGAGAGGTATCAGGATTGTTTTACCTATATCACAGACATGCCCGTTAGTATTTGTCTTCATCTTCTTGATTTCCCACGTCGTCCCGCGTTATGGAAATAGAAGACCATGAAGATATTGATGAATACCTTCGACCCCCGGATTAACCCCGTTCTGTATGGCCTTCACGCATTCCTTGAACTTCGCCTGGGCCGCCCGTAGTTTTTGGAAAGAGGCAGTGAGGTGTTCGAGTTCTTCATCTAGCTGCTTCTTGACGGCGGAGAGGTTTTGGATGGAGAGAGTGGAGAGGTCGAGAGTTTGCTGTTTGGGAGAAGAGGCAGGCGCTTTAGACATCGTTGCTGAAGCTACTATCGGAGTAGTCTATGATGGTGCTGAGGTCGAAGATGTTGACGACGTCGAAATTGAAGTTGAAGTTGAAGTTGAAGTTGAAGTTCAGGAACGAGACCGGTCTGTTGGAACGTGGTGGGGTGGTTTTGTGGAGTGAAAGTTGTGTTGCCTTCAATCCTCAACTGGGCTTTCGCTTCGAATCCAACCTTCAACTTTCGACCTTCAACCATCACCACCATCCAAAAAACCCCTGCTTCGACACCTTCAATCTCGTTCCATCATCATGGCGGACGTTCAATCCATATCGCCGCAAGATACTGCTCTAGCAAACGTAAGTCTCCCCAAACCGTCCTTTCGTTTGTAACTTTCAAGGCCTCCCAAAAGGGAGAGAGCAAGGCGAATCCACTAATATGGCGCGCGCGTAGTCACACATCCGCGAGTCTGCAAAGCGCACACGACAAATCTTCACCGCAGACTTCGGTCTCCCCTTCTCCCTTGCCGACACACCCTTGGAAGACGACGCCAGTCACAAATCCCTCGTCACCTCTAAAATCCGCTCCGAGTACGACGATGTTAGAGAATTACCTCCTGCCCTCGCCGCAAAACAGGCTGCAGCTGCTTCTGCCCGTAAAGGTGCCAAGAAACAGAAATTACAACCGAAGGTTACAGACGACGATGGGAAGGCGGCTGTAGCACCCACAAAGTTGATTGAAGGAATCCCGGCCAAGGTTTCTGATGTACCTACAGGGGCATCGCAGGCGCTTACGCTGCGAAGACCTGGCGTAGGCGGTGCTGGGCCCAGTGGTGCAAAGGGGACAGCGCAGAGGAACCTGCCGTCGGAAACGGGAATGATCAGACGAGACGCTGCGGAGCAGGTCAAACCTGTTTGGCACGCACCGTGGAAGTTGATGAGGGTCATATCTGGCCACTTGGGATGGGTGCGGTCGATAGAAGTCGAACCGAACAACCAGTGGTTCTGCACAGGTGCTGGGGACCGGACGATCAAGATCTGGGATCTTGCAAGCGGCTCGTTACGACTTACACTTACCGGACACATCTCAACAGTAAGAGGGCTAGCGGTATCCCCGAGACATCCATATTTATTCTCCTGTGCAGAGGATAAAATGGTTAAGTGCTGGGATCTGGAGCAAAATAAGGTCATACGGCACTACCACGGTCATCTCTCGGGCGTCTACGCGCTGGCATTGCATCCTAATTTAGATGTCTTGGTGACGACGGGGCGGGATGCCGTTGCTAGGGTATGGGATATGAGGACGCGTGCATCAGTGATGGTGCTTACGGGGCACAAGGGCACTGTTGGGGCGGTCAGGACGCAGGAAGCGGATCCTCAGGTCATTACTGGGTCTATGGATTCTACTATTCGTCTGTGGGATCTAGCAGCAGCGAAGACCATGGCGGTGCTTACGCATCACAAGAAGGCGGTGCGGACGTTGGCTATCCATCCTAAAGAGTTTACGTTCGCAAGTGGTAGTGCGGATAATATCAAACAATGGAAGTGTCCTGAGGGTGCCTTCATGCAAAACTTTGAGGGGAACAAGGGAATCGTGAATACGTTGAGTGTGAACGAAGATGACGTTATGTTTGCTGGAAGTGACAACGGCGAGATTGGGTTTTATGACTGGAAGAGTGGGTATAAGTTTCAAGGATTGGAGACGATTGCACAGCCTGGTTCTTTGGAGGCGGAACAGGGCGTTTTTACGAGTACGTTTGATAAAACTGGGTTAAGGTTGATCACTGGCGAGGCGGATAAGACGATCAAGATCTGGAAGCAGGACGAGGATGCGACGGAAGAGACACATCCTCTTGATTGGAGTAAGCTTCCTAAATCCCCTTTGTTTTTTAGCATAAACGAACGAACGCTAACATTGACTCTTAGAACCATCGCTGTTGAGAAGACGGTATTAGTTTATTGTTAGACACTTATAATAGCTTAGATCTCGGCAGCATTTCGATATATCAGATTAAGGTATCTGGGCTCAGGCGTTTGTTATATATAAAGGACATGAAATCTGTACGATATATGAGAGGAGAATGAATCAAAAAGTAATATTAAGTTAAGATTACCCTTTTGTAAGAAGGAAAGGAAATATTTTTTGATATACATGGTATCCGAAAGAAAGATCGCTCCCAAACATATTATTTTCTCATCAAGTTGAGTGGTGTTTTCCATGCGCCCCGCTATGTTGAATATATGACTTTTCATAGTTCTTGTTGATTAGATTCCATTGACACTTACCAATATACTTACCAACTACTTCTACCCCATATGAAGATATTTAACCAGTCTTCTTAGCACGCTCTCTTTCTCTCTTGGCATAGATCTCGGATGTGAAGGGACTGTGGAGGAAGTTAGTTCGTTGAGTTCAAAATAGAAATGGTGGTTTACGAGTATCGTACTCTTCAAATCTCAATGCAGCCAAATAGACCACCAGAACCTCAATGGTGAGTAGCACACCGGCCGGCTTTCCAAACCATAATGCTGTTCCCAAAAAGCTCATAGTCGACCCATAATACATGGGAGCCGAGGTAACATTAAATGGGAACCCTTCGACCATCTTATCCATCAGGATGCCAAAGTAATCACCCAAATAAGTACCCGTGAGCCCCAAAGCCCACATAGAAGTGATGACGAGGACATTCCCAGTAGCGAACAATGCTATAGCAAGGTACTTGACAGTTGGAGTGGTGAGGACGTCGAGAGATGGTTGATCCTGAAGGGCACGTTCGTAAAGAGCGTCTCGGATGATGCCGAGAGAAAAGATAGCGAACGCGAGGAGATAGCAGCCGTAGTAACGGTTGCCGAAAGCGATTTTTGTGATAGTCTTAGAATGGTATTCGGAACGGGCCGCGATACTATGAGTGGTAATGGTATATCTGTCAACTTGCGCCCTTCTTCACTCTGTCATTTTTTTCTTCTTCTTCTTTTCTTCCCTCGGCTTCATTGTATTTTTCGGAATTGGAGTTTGAATACGTACTTCCAGAATACGGGATTGAAGACAATGGACAGCACAGCGACTATTACGCAGAGTTCTCTCAGTCAGTCATTGATTGATTCAGCCAATCGATATCTACTTTGCATCTGATAATGGTTGAAGCTTCAATTAAGAGGCCAGATCGCAAGATACCACGGCAATGATGCTCATGCTTATATGATGATGATGATAGTGAGCGAAATTTTCATACTTATCAGGGATTGTTGGGACAAGTCGACCCAATCGGATGGTGTCGTGGATGTTAAGGCCAGCGGGGCAGGACCAGGCGTCGAGGGCCACAGTTTCTCTTTGAGCATGTCCATTGTCGAAGTATCGATACTGGCGGATACAGGTAATATATACCGAGAGAAAATGTATAGATAGCAGATTTTTTTGCGGACAAATGGATGGACGAAGTTGCAGCTGCCGTATGCTGTTTTATATGTACGAAGTATGTATGTTCTAAGGTTGACGTTAATGTTGAGGTTGAGGTTGGCTTTGAAGCCGGAATCGGGTGTGTTGGTTGGGCGGATAGCTATCTCGTATCTCTGGTCGAGCTGCCAGTGCCAGGTGCGTGCCAGGTGCCAGTGCCTGCAGCATTAGCTCACCCCCGTCGACTCGACCCGACTTGCGAATAACATCATCGATCACAATCACAATCACAAGCCATCAACCAACCAAGCTAGGTCACAGCCCTGAGATATATTAATATCAACTCCAACTTCAACCTCAACTTCTGTTGGTAAGTGACCCGGTATCATATTTATGATATAAGAAAAAATTACTTAATTGTGGGATTATATATAGCTTCTTTAGCTTCGGATTCTTCTTGAGACTTCACTTGCTTCCGATGCAAATGCAAAATGCAAAATGCAAATGTCATGTACGAGACAAAAAAATGCATGGAAACCTGTGAAAGGCACATCGTCAACTTCAACCTAGAAGACACGATTCAAAATCAAGGGTAGTTATGCACATGTATCTGTACATGTAGTGTACCATTCACACCTCAGAGAATTCAGCCGGGTAAGAGTATCCCCGCCGGATGTATACTTTTTGCTCTATAGTCAAAAAAGCTAATGCCAGCATCTAATTTGGTATATTGGTGACCAGCTTACTCGCGTCCTGTGTAGGGTCATAACTGAAAACCCAGGTCGGCCTAGCCTAGTTTGGAATATTCTGCACGAATGAGTACAGGCGGAGCAGTATGTCAACGGGGAAATATCGAGAATATGTACCCACTCACTATGCAACTGTGTACTGTGTAGTCGTCGTCGTCGAATGCCTGGCAGGGTACCTGATGCCATGCCACACCAATTGACTCACGTTTGATCGTTTGCGCGAGTCCTGTAAGCTGGGAAGCTGCACTCGAACCAGCTTGGAAGCTCTTGCCTTGGCTTTGGAATGAAAGCTTGCATGAACTCTGCATGTTCTGTCTCTCCATTACAAACTTGTATCTCGACAGACAGGAACAATTCACCATTGGGGTCGCCCTAAACACCACCCCGGTCTCTCTGTCTAGCAATATGTTCAATCATGATTGCAGAACAGTTGTCCGCTGCTCATCGACGGGTTTTCTTTCATACAGGATCCGTTCCATAGCATTGGCCATGAAAATACCCTCCCTGGTCTAGGGTAGCAAACGAGGCCTGACAACTGTACCCGACCAGCCCAGCGCTGGACAGCTCATCAACCAGCTGCCAGCTGCCCTGGGAGTTTTGGATACCCGATTCGACGACGATATCCTAATATATAATGCGCAATGACCATCGACGCAGAACATACCTACCTACCCTTTGTTCTCAAATTTATATAGTTTATAATCGTCTGCTACCGCCCACCACCCACCACCACAGCCTTCGTCCTCCAACTTCTCCAGTTTTATAAAAACCATCTGCACCCTCTAATTGATACTTTCATATATTCAACACGCGACCCGCATTTCCCACTCTTCTCCGACGCTTTCAGTTATCTGTTCCATTTATCCTGAGAGACATCGCAATAAAGTAAAAGTAAGTTGAATGAGAAAAATTTCTATTCTAGGCGGAACTCTCCATTGTATTGCTTTTCATTATCTTCATCTTTGAAGATGACTTGTCACCGATTGCTCAGTGCTGCCGCGTGACAAACGAGCAGGCATCTCGCATCCCAGCAATTCTCAGTTTTTCGTCTGATCGAGTTGCGGCTGAGTCAATCAATGAGGCTCTCCTTTGGCTCTCTTTTCGTGCTTTTTCCCTTCAAGCTCGTGCAACGAGAATGGCATGGGGTTTGACAGGCGCTCCATCATACACTGGGGTCCAATTCTCCCTTCAGCAGCGGATGATTTATTACGACACCTTTTGGCGGGGAGGGCGAATCGCCAGGCACAAGCAGGCGAAACTTCCAGCTGGATCCTCGAAGCGTCCAATGTTACGAGCCCAGGCCTACCCCTCCACCGGTGGCTCTTCCCCGGTGGTCTCCACCCCGAACGTGTTCCTCTGCTCAGTACAGTTACATGCTGCTGTGCCGTGCTCCACTTCCCGCGATGTGCAAGAGCAGGGTATCAGACGAACATACATACATACAAACTTCTGAGTCCATAGAGGGCCATGCATTCTGCAAAGGTTCTTTCTGTCAAGCATAAACCACTGCGGTAGCATCGGGGAGTGTGACTAAATTCACTAGGCCTTATCCTATCACATTATTGGTTTACTCCGGAAAGCTCACTCGACGTACTTGTCGTATCGGGCTTTATACATCTACATATATACCTCCCGCATTCCTCGTCCAAGTCTCCTCCACTTCTCTTTTGCAATTTCCTTGTGCATTACCGCTAGAGACGCTGTTTCGATTGACACCTAAAGGTCATAATAGTCTATTCGTACCGACCCATACCATACCCATTTCCGCAAGACACCTCGTACACACTGCTGTCCGAACCTCACACTATACTCAATCCTGTCCTAAAAGAAGCTGTTAAGGAGTTCCCGCCGTCCAGCTTTAACTTCTGGCACTAGGAAAAGTATAGATATTGAATCAGAGTAAGCCTCTCGTATTTCTCCCTTCCTCTTCTTCTCTTCTCTTCTCTCTTGGCCTCCCTCTCGCCTACACCAAACAGCCGACGACAGACGCCACACGACTCGCCCCGCCTACAAATATATATTCCCAGAGCCCCTGGCCGTTTCCTTTCCGAAGGATTCGCTTGGTGGCTCACTCCAACAATAAATCCTTTCATTCTCCGAAAGGTACCGCCTCGAGCCACACGGCCATCAATCCTTCCTTCAGGCCCTCCAGCCACAGGTGGTCCCTTTTATAATTATTAAAACGGCTCACGTTATCGATACCACCACCACCACCACCACCACCACCACCACCAACTCTACCCCGCCACCAATATTCCGTCATTGTCTCGATTTTATAAGTCAGGCAAGCAAAAGTAACGACCGAAACGGGCTGCATATATAAATACTCTCAAATCATTATCGCTAGGGTATCAAATCCTAGACCTTCACAAAAGACCCATTTCATAAACACCTCCAACAACACACATAATAAGAGAGAATACATAATGGAACCAGACACAAACGGTTTCTACGCAATGCCTACCGCACCCCCAGCGAGGTCATATAGTCGGGATCGATCCCCAGCCGTCATGATGGCGCCTGCAAGGAGTACCTCTCGCCAGCGGCGAAATACGGCTAGCTCTCAGGAACGACCAACTTCGCTATACGTTCATGAGGGAGCGAGGCATAGATCTTACCATTTGACGGGACCGGCCCCTGGTGGGCCGTCTTATCCTGCTGTTTCGCCTGGCTCTCGCGCATATAATCCCGCAGCCCCGATGGGTCGCTCATTATCAGTCAGCTACAATACTCGGCCACCAGGCACGGTGCGGGCAGTTTCTACAGGTGGCGATAATATACAAGTGGCCGGATCATCAAGGCGGAATTCTAGCCATAGCAGATCAGCTAGTGGGGCTGCGGGAGCTGCTGGTATTCAATATTACTATGGGGGTAGTAGTAGGACGAGACCAGTTTCTTACTATGGTGGTGGCAATCATCAGCACTGGGACGGTTCGGCTGGATCTTACGGATCCTACGAATGGGACGAATGGTCTCCGGCCCCATCTCCTGCACCTGGCCATTCACCGGTTGGAAGCTATAGCCGTTCGCCAACCCGGCACCCTTATGAAATGCCACCTACAGCCCCACCGCCACCCATCAACGCATACAGACCGGAGGACGACATTAAACGACTCGAACAAGCCCGGCTGGAGCTAGAGCACCTTAAGATCCGGGAGGCCGAAGAGAGAGAAAGAGGGCGAACTGCAGAACGAAGGCTAAGAGAAATAAGGACACAGGCAGACGCAGATCCTAGGTTACGAGCCAAAGTATCGGAAGCTGAAAAGCAGGCTGCAATCGCTATCGCACAGCAAGAAGAATACGAACGAAAACTTGCCGAGGCCGAGGCTAGAGCTGCTCGACTAGAAAGGACTACGAGTCAAAGCAAGAAACCACAGGTTATCCTACAGAACGGAAAGCCGTTGAAACCAGCACTCAAACAAACAGTAGCTGTTACTCAGAATAATACAGAGGCACCAGCGACTGCGACTAACCAAAACATGTCGGAACAAGCGCCAATGAACCCCCAGGACTACCAGGCTAAGATCCCCAAGGATTTGATTTCCAGGGCAGCACTGGTAGAGAAAGGTCTTACCTACGAAGAGCATGTAAGAAACTTTTACCTTCAATTTATTGCCCGGCGGAGCGAAAACAGCTAATAAAGCATATAGAAAGACTACCTTTTAGTGAAGCGCTACCTTTCAAAGGAGGACATCAAGGCCCTCCTTGACCGAACTGCAGAGATTAGAAGTACGTATATAACATTGCCCCGCCCCAAAGCTACCCCACACCTCGCAGCTGCCTATTCCGCAAACCCCTCCCATTACGCAACAAATATGCTAACCAGACTCGCGCATAAACAGAACAAAGGGAGGCAGTCGAGCGATACAGGGCATCCCAGGCCGCTCAGCAGGCAAAGGTTCAAGAGGATAAGGTCCGCCCCGCAGTGGCCATGCACACCACTACGGATAACAAAACCGTGCAGATCGTCACGATGCCCCAGAAGGATGCACCACCAGCACCGCCTCCTCCTCCTCCACCAGCAAAGGATCTAAGTCAAGAGTGGGAAGAATGGAAGGCTGAGAAAAAGGCCCGTGAAGAGGCGCGGGCCGCTGAGGAAGCTGAGTGGGAGAAGAAGATGAAGGCGAACTCGGAGAAGTTCAAGGTGCGTTTAAACCCGGTATTGCTTAAAGGCTGATAATAATTTATTTACTGACGTTTGTTTTTCTATAGCAACTGGAACAAAGAGAGAGACAGGAAAGGTTGATCCAGAAGCAGATGGAGATTGACCGAGCAAAGGCCAAGGCGAAGCTCCAGAGGAAAGGATGGTTCTAAGCTATTCCTACACCTTCCTCTCCCTTTCATACGATAACTCAACCACCTCCTCTCAAGTCGTGTGCTCTTCGCCACATCATTTTCTTGTTTTTTCATCGTGAAGACTTCTAAATTCCTGCATTTCTTTTTTCAACGCTTAGATGATGATATCCCATGATTCCTTGAAGTTCCAATGCTCGATTTAGCCGAAACCACATCCCCAATCATCGTGATAGCGGTGACATGTTTCCCTTCTCGTTCTTCTCTTACTTTTTTCCATTTCCGCTTCATTTCCTTTCTTTACATTTCATTTCCTTTTCCTTTTTTTGATGCTCCGTGCATGCGCACTCGGGATTTCCGCGTTGATGTGCCACGCGCGCACCCTAATAAGCTTATTATCTTTACCTTTTTTTCCTTCCAAAACGGCATTGCGACTTTGACTTTGTCTTGCATTCATTTTTCTTTTGGGTTTATTCCTGATATCTAGCCTTCCTCAACATGAGCTTAGAACCATCAAAATACAACAAAAAAAATCTTTCGTCATCCCGGCAGAAACGTTTTACGAATAATCAAAGGAAAAAACTGCAAATTGATAAATATGTACTTGGCATAGATGCGTCATCGGGGTATAAACGCAGGGTATCTTTTCTGTATATACAATAAAAATTAAAGTAACTTCCAAAATGCAGGTTGACTTGTTTGGGTATATCCTCCTCTAGCCTCTCAGAAACGTAACTCTATAGAAGGAGAAAAATATGAAAAGGAAAATATATGTAAAAATAGAACTTCATTTGGCCTCGTGGCCATAGCTTATGTCACCCCGAGCTCCTTTTCCGTGTACCAAAAGCGTACCCGCTTACGGGATACACCCTCATTATTCACGAATTTCGCCCGAGTTCCTCATAGCTATTAAAGAGAGTTGCCGGTTTACAAACCCTCGGCGTATCCGAGTTCGTATGCGAATCCCAAGGACATCTTTGCGTGTTCGAGCATATGCTCAGCGCTAACAGTATCGATGGTATCACCGGTACCGTGGATGAAATCGCTAGAGTGCTCCATGGCGGATTCGATGACAAAGGCAGATGGGTATCCATTCCTATTTGCCGAAGCGTGGTCAGAGCAGGCGTATCCGCAGCGAGTGTCGACAGCTGGGATGGCGCAGTACTATTATTTTTAGTAAAGAAGGACAGAAATTGTTAGCCGCCTTTGAAGTTGTTTAAAATTGTTGTAAAATAAAGTGAAACTGTGAATGGGGGGATATGTATATTCGCGGCACAGCAGGGGAAAGTTTTTTTTTGCTAAACGAATCGAATGAAAGGAAAGTGGAGAAACAAAGATGTTTAAGACTTACAGCAGCAATAACCTTCTTGATAAACGCCGTAAGGTTCTTGTCCACATTGTCGGTAACGACACCCATTGCCTCGGGCTTGTTGGCGGCCAAGGTTCCCTGAACGTATCCAGTCATATCCTGGTTCAACATGGCCTTGACTTGTCGTCCCTCCTTCTTGTAGGCTGCAAAAATAGCTTGAGAGCCAAGAAGACCGGCTTCTTCAGCTGCATACCAGTGGAACTCGATGGTGTTTGGCGCTTGTCCCGCCGCGACTTCTGGGTCGGAAAGAAGTACCCTGAGGGTCTCGAGGATGGTCATGGACCCGCTACCATTGTCGTCGGCACCGGGGGCACGACCATTGGTTGGGTTTCTTTGGTTGACACTATCAAGATGGGAGCCCACAACGATTGTGTTCGCAGATTTGCCGGGGATGGTAGCAATAACGCTGTTTTGGCCCCAGCTTGGATGAACGAAGGGCTTTACGCTAGCAGCGACGCGGGTGCTGTTACCACCGGCGCCAGAGATGATATCTTGGACCTGCTGAAGCAGCCATTCAGCAGCTTCCTTTCCAGTAGCAGATTTGTAGTATCTGTTATTGAAGCTAGTATATTTCTCCAATTTGGTGTAAATATTGTTGGCCGAAAGCTTGGTGATAAGTGGCTTCACGACGTCCTCATGGGCTACTGAGGCCGGGAAGGCGACAGCTGAGACTTGTACCCGGCGGGAGTCGATGTGCTGGTAGTCTGTGATATCGATGAAGTGTTTTCCCTGTCCGAGGAGTTCCCACTTCTCGGATTCGGTAATCTGTCTGGTTTCACCTGGGGCTAGCTCGACTGTGTAGACTGGTTCTTTGATCTTGGGCTCTGGAATGTACAGAGCTGTAACCGCTGTGGAAGCCGCAAGGGCGGAAAATGCAAGAGCAAACTTCATTGTATGTGTATATATATAGTAAAATATGGTATAAGAGGGGTATCGGGTGAATATGCACAGCAGATTCGAGGTCACAAAGATGAAATAATCGAAACCAAAAGAACCAAAGCAAATTGGGGTATCTTGATCGTAAACGGTGGATAAATTATGCTTAAATGGAGTAATGAATGAGAAGAGAAAAAGGAGAGAAAAATAGACATTGAGATCGAGGAGGACTACAGGTATTTGTACCTCAAAAATGCATATTGTGAACGTGTATATTTCCTGTAGATATCGCGGTTAGTCAATATTCTCCGAAGGAAGGCCAACTGATCTCGATCAGCATCACTTCATACGAAGTTAGGTAGCCAACTTCTTCTTTTTGCTCAGTCGTATCATAGCAGGGGGACGTTGAATAGCCGTTTTCATATCAAAAGAAACGTTCGAAACGACCCGCTACTACTAAACCCCCAATAGCTGTGTTGTTCTCGCGCCAAGGATTGTGGTGTATTTTGGGTGTATCCTGGCAAAGGCGCTCCGTTGACATCATGCCTAGATGCATGCCACATTCCCGTTTCATGTTAACGGATAATCATATTATCGTTCCCTTCCGTATTGTCATGAGATAATATTTATCAATGTACTGCCTAACTGGGGACTGGTCTCTAACAGAAAATTAACTCGTTAAGCTATAGGTCGGCCATGTGCGGTGTGGGAAGTTTGGACGAATCGTTCCAATTGGTGCTTCGGTGCCGATTGCAGTGCCATTGGATATGATTAAGGTTGGAAAGGGATCTATCATAGACGATAGGCGGCTGCAGGGTTGGAAGACGGAATGTAGGTTGGGGTTGAGCAGCTTCCTGATATAAAAGGAGCTTGAAGGGCCAAGAGTCTTGGGGGACGAGGGATTGTTATTATGTGACAGACCATCTGATTACGACACGAGCATCATGTCGATATCCGGGAGATGCATCCGTTTGAGCGTTTGTAGAGCACTTTGCTTGGTATTTGCTGAAAGGAAATCCGGGGACGCAGAGATAAAAGGGCGTTTCTTGAGGTCTTAGCGTCTGGATTTCCGATAATGTGACACTTCTAATGCATGTGGAATTAATCCACAGTAATCGGAAAGATGCAAAATGTCATCTGCATTGGAATGGTCGAAGACAAAGGGCATCACTAGATACTATAGATGTCCACCTATAATTCTGACCCTAGAACCCGTGTGAGTGAATGCATCTATTTGGTAGTCTCAAGGGCTAGAGCTTGTCGACGAAACCACCACGGTCGAGCCAACCTTCTCGTACCATGGACATGTGCTCTTTGGTAGCGATCCCAAAGAGGAACCTGAAAGAGGCCTTCGCTGACGACGTTACAGCCTGCTGGTAGGATCTAGAGACATGTCATCCATGCTATTGTTTCAGGCATCAATGGATTTTAAGATAACGGGACGAGTCCGCTGACGGGTGACGAATAGTCGATTTCAACTGCTTGCTGGCCTATATGAGTACTTAGCTAGTAGCTTGAGCAATTGGATACTGTTATGTCAAGGACTAGACAGCGCCATTGACATGATTGCGTGTTCAAACTGATGCCATATCGATTGATGATGCCGGAGTATTTGTTAAGATGCTATATTAGGACTTGAATTGAATTGAACTTGAACTTGAACTCGAGTCGTACCAAGCTACCGCTACTTCCAAAATACCACATCTACAACACAAGATACAGACTTGGTCCGACGTCTACGTTGTCAACACATATAATAAGCCGCGATTAATAATTAACTTCGGATTGCTACCAACTACTCCATTTCAAACATTCACTTCAGGAGTATCGCTAACAAGCGGCGTCTGTTCTCTGTAGCCTGCTGAATGGCATCCTCGGAACCTACTCCGTTCGCTAACAGTACTTTTATCACTTCATCTTGTCCCCAGCTTACTGCCCCGTTCAATGCCTTCTCGCCGAATGTCTTGATATCAATTCCCTTCTCTATCAGGAACTTCACCATTTCTGTATTCCCGAAACTTGCTGCCTTTTCAAATGCAATCCCACAGTTTGAGATATCCAATCCCCTACCTATCAGTGTTCCCATTATATCCACACTTCCATTTCGTCCTGCCTTCGTAGCTGCGTCAACACCATATACTGCAATATCAACCCCTTTATCTAGCAGTAATTCCACCATATCGTTATGGTCTGCTCTTTCAAGTGCTTCGCCTTGAATCCGTCCCGTCCTGTCTAATATTAGCCCTGCTATCTCTCGGTGACCGGCTTCCACTGCCAATAAAAGGGCATGGTCAATTTGAAGAAAGTCCTTGTTCTCGTTTACATCATCGTTCGGTGTAAACCCCACCCCGTTATCTATCAAGAGTTCTACCAGCTTCAAATGCCCAGCTGATGCTGCGAGAATAAGATCTTTTCTAGAAAACATCCCCTCCTTTATTAGTAGTTCGGCGATATCTGGGTTTCCGTCTGCCAAAGACAGAAGTGGCTTGTCTCCGCTGCGCGCACCACTAACTATACCAGCATCTACCTTTTTCTGTTTGATTACCGATTCAACTACCATCCAATTTTGTTGTTCTGCAGCCGCCCAAAAGACTTCTGCATAGTCTACGCCTTTCTCTATCATCAAGTCCACTACCTTCCGGCTTCCCTTTTCGCTCCCCCACCAAAGTATGACCTCGGGTATGTGTGAGACGTATGCTTTCTTCTCCAGGAGCAGCTCGACTATTTCTAGATGGTCTCCAAGAAAAGCAAAATCAAAAGCACTGCGGTGGTGGTTACTAGCACCGCTACGAGCATTTATCTCGATATCCGGTTGTTCAAGGAGAAGCCGAACTGTACGATTGTCGCCGCGCTTTGCGGCTAACATTAAAGGTGTCATACCGATTTTCAGGCGGGTGTTGAGTGAGCTTGTATCCCCATTCAGCAGCGCCTCGACGACTCTATGGTGTCCTTGTTCGGTAGCTAACATTAAGGGTGTATACCCGTCCCCATCACGGATATTTCGGTCTGTGTTATTCTTAAGAAGAAGTGCCACCACGTCGAAATTCCCGTGGAATGCAACCCAAGAAAGTGAAGTTCGACCGTCAGGACCTGGAGTATTCACGTCGTTGGCGTTTTTACCAACAAAGTATACTATCACTTTTGTATTGTTCTCTTTAGCCCACTCCCATAATTGTTTGTGATTGGGTACATCGTCTTCTGTTACTCCATGAGACCTAAGGTTGGCTGCCTGCTCTTCGTTCCCTTTCTCCGTAGCTATCTGTAATCCGATCCACCCATACCGCTGGGCTATTATAGAGAGAGTTGAATCTCGGCTCTGGTTCTTGGCTTGTTCCAACATTTTACCGACCCCGGAGAATCCGTCGCGGGAGTGGCTTGGTGATGTGCTGTCGCTCGTGCGCATCCACTCGTGGTAGATCTCAGCTAACTCAGCATAGGGCTTCCGGTCCTCATTCGTGTTAGGGTCGAAGCAGACACACTCCAACAGTAAGACTGCCTCTTCTCTCTCTTTGTCACTACAGTTTTTAAGTTGATCCAGGGCTGCAATTATAACTTCGTTTGGTATCTCAGGCATCTTATTTTCCCGCACCAAGGCTGGAATGATGCACATATATGCATCTTCTCTTGACCCTAACCCACTATTCTCAAAATAGTCAGCCATTTCTTCTATCTGGCTGTTTTGTAATAGGAAAGTGGGCTGACGGCCGACTGATGCGCGAAGGGTCGTTTCTCCGCCGATGCTTTCAACATCCCGCAGAACCGCCCCTAAAAATGAGATCAAGATATCTTGAGCACACATCACAAGTCTAGAATTTTTGGTAGCGACGAAAGAGATGGAACCTTTTTGCTCGAAATCCTCGAACGTATCTGGACGGTTATAGGGCGTTTGACAGCCGAAAAGGTCAAATCGTGGCGAACTGATATCCCATGAATATTCCGAACAATTGAGAATCACGGGGTTCGCCGAATGTTCCATCGGATTTCTAGTTCTAGACGTAAACCGATCAACATGAGGACGAACAAGCTTTTCTTCTAAGTGTAACTTCCGCCGAATCCAGACGGGGTACACTGGTTGGGGTTGGGCTCGACTTGAAGAAATCAGACGAAGATTGGGTGTTTGACCCCCCTCGATTATGGGTCTTGGATAGAACTCTCCAGATGCCGGTAAGTCGATATTGTGCCGGTTACGTTGAACAGACCATGCCCATACCCCAAGAAGCGCTTCAAGCTCTGGACAGTCGATCTTCCACGCTAGGCCTTCCTTAGATATCTCGAAGGAGAATTTTTCGGCTTCTGATTGGATCCCGTGTGTTGTCTGGTTTACGAAACTAGCTTCTAATAATCTCACTTAAATACTACTATCTCTTTAGGGAACCTTTTGCATATCTGGGATATTGGGATATACCTATAGTAGCGAACGAGTGTACGAATACACCAATTGTCCAATAGTGCCTTTGCGCATGCGCTTTTGCGCTTTCCGTGAGTCTCACAGACAATATGCCCATGATACCTTCGATAGCTCTCTGTACTTGAGAGGCTATTTCTCGAACTTGAAGGTTATTCCAAGAACGGTGATCTTGCCCATTAGTCAGACGGGCAAACCGTGCTCTTGCTTTTAGTGCCATCGCCCCTTTGCCCTCCACAAGAGCCGGTGCGCCTTGGAGCTATTAGACTCAAGATATATCCTAGATAGGGGAAGGCTAAGGAGAAGAGGGTTATTACCTGATAAGCCACCTTCATACCATTGGCTAACACATAAAGACACAATATCCTCATATTGCATCGCAGCGAAGTCCAACTCATGGCCCTTTATATAACTTGACGGCCAATATACTAAGTTTTTATCCCCCCCCGCTCGCTGAGCCCGAAGGCCGGCGCGGACAATCGCCATCAGAATAGTGGCGCCCAGCTGTGCCATGATAACAGATGCGTGTACTGCTCTTAATCCCACGAACTGTACTATAAATCCAAATACTGTCGTGCTTACCGCTACCCATAGGAGTTTATTGAATTGATGGAAGTCGAGGTGCTTATTGGCTGTGGCTGAGACGATATAATCATTGCTGTTGCTAAACTGCACAAATGATTCAAATACTTGATCGCCGATTTTTTGGCCACCAGGCTGAACCCAATATATCCGACTCTCAATTTTTGGATTTTTTTGAAAGAGATGCTCTGAAGAGTTTTTCTCAATAATGAAAGCGCAAAGGAACATCCCAGAACAGAGCAACATAGTACCAACTAAGGTAAATGGAAATGCATACCTTTCGACCGGGTTTCCATCGGAGCCCACTAGAAATTGACTAGGGTACTTGTAAACCGTAAGGCCTGCAAATATTAAAACGCCTATATAACCCATACAATAAAGTCAATTGGGCTTTTTTGTAGAGATGCCTTATATTGTTGTGCAGCTTTCATCTGCTTACCTGCCTGTAAAACTATTCCCAAGACAGTAGCGCCATAGGTATACCTTTCAGACAACCTTCTCATACCGAAATTGAGCGATATATTAGGGCAATATTCGATATCTTTTAGCGGGGAATCTGATTTGGTGCGCCAGGCTGATATGGGTTCTTTTGCAGATTCCCTGAGACTGTAGATACCCGCGGTACAGCCTACACCCGTATAGTGCAACTCCCGGCTGGTCTCCGTAAGCCTGACGACTTCGAGGATCTGCGGGGTACCAAAGACGCGTGCGACCCCGCCGTTATGCCATAATTCAGAGGTGGTTTCCGAGACGGAAGAAAGAAGTTCAACTTCTGCTGTTCCCGGACTTTCTTGTGCTCTTCCAATAAAAGCTCGTAAAGACGAGTTTCCACAAACTCGAATTACAGAGACAACGGCAGTGAGAATCCCTAACGGGGCCATAGCAAAAATAATGTTGTCCCATGTGCTCAATGATTCGCTGAGAAACTGTTTTGTGACTTGTTCGCCAAATAGGGTGATAAGAGGAGCCTGTACGTATAATTATAGTATGATTCGTTAACATATGACGGGAAATTATCAGGGCTTTTTGCTCAAGAGAACATACAAGGTCGGTTGCGAGGTTATTGGAGAAATTTTCCCACTCAAGAGGTGTGCCGAACGGGAGGGACGCGAGGGTCCAGGTCAAGCCGAATATCAATATCATTATTGCGAACCCAAGACTTCGAGCAAACGATGGGAAACGTGCAAAAGGGGCGCAATGGATACAATATTCGTAGGATGTTTGTATTTAGGACTCCAGCTAGACTCGTTCTCGGAGCTGGAGCCACGCCTGCATTTATATGGTCGGGTCGTATCATTCTGGTTCTCCAATCCCCGCTCGAGGCTATGATAATTCTATACACCATGTATTATCTTATATATATGCAGGTGCCCCGGCATGCATATTGCCAAGAACAGCCTCGGATGCTGGCTTCAGCTTGCGCTTGGGAAGCTGGGATGATAACCAGTTAAATTCCCGATTTTATCGGCACAATGTACCAGTCTCAGGATTTGGTGAATTCGTGAACCCCGCCCTAATATCTTTAAGCCTTTGCTTTCAGGGCCTATAAGCAGGCAGTTTGTACACGTAAAATAACGCCTATATACTTGCTTGAATTTAGTGGCTGATTGGTTAGAATAAGAGATATGTAGTCTGGGGAATAACAGACCCTGAAGGGGAATGGCTTCTCACAATCTTCTGTTTTAAATCGTTGAAGCTATGCTAGATATATTAAGTATATACCTAGGTAAGCATATCCATACTATGTGCATCGTATTTCGAGACCCAACCCCGATCCGTTTCACGTCCCGTTCACTCATATGATCATTTGTAAAGAGAAATAATGGGGAGCTAGCACTCATCGATGGCTTCGCGATATCGGTGAGTCTTTCCACATTTCTTTCTCTGGTATTCCGAACATCCTACATACGAGGAGGGCACCCTTTGTTTTGTGTGATCTCGCGAGAGAAGACAGGTTAATTGTCTCCTCAGGGGTTCTGCTAATGTCCATAAGTAAGTAAGTCCCTTGTGAAAAATACCCGGGATAAAAAGGGAGAATATAAAGAAGTAGTAGTATTGCGATAGACATACTTACATTATATATATATATATCTCCAGCGCTGCCCCAGCTATAGCCGACTAAGAAGGATACTATATTTGTCCTCCCGTCCAACGTGGGGGCAAAGAAAGCTTAGCAGGCCGCATTAGGCGGCTCGGGACCTGGCTCCCTGGCCTGGCCTTGCACTAACCTCGAGGCAGCCAACTCGTGTTAACCTGGCCAGCCAGTCGGAAATACGAAATTCCTGATTTCCTGCCAGAAAACAGCGGCTAGTTTTCTGCAGCTCGACCGTAGAAGCCAGGGTTTTCGATTCTTGTCACCACCATGGTTTATTCATATCGGGCATCCGGTGTTTCCGCGGGCGATTGGTTACGTAGGGCTGTAAATATTTGCGAACACAAATTCCACGACTGCAGCATCGCCACCAATTAGGGCTCGGGCTCCGGCAAACGACAGTTTATAATTATCGACTCCGTGAGGTCTTGATTCGATTTTGAAGTTCGGTACTTACCTTTTTTGGAACGGCGCATTTAATTGGGAGGTTCGACACGTGAAAGTTGGTGGACTTTCTTTCGAAGTACCAGCAACTTCGAGTTTCGTGCCCATTTCACCTCGATCAGCTGCCTTCTTTTTAAGCTTCCACGGGTTCAAGACAATAAATACTAAAGCTACCGACGGAATTCCAGGGCTCGAGGACACCCCTTCACCTTCACCTTCATCTTCACCTTCATCATCACCGTTTTCTTCATATCGACATTCATAGTTGTATTAATTATAGAACCGTCGATATGTCTTGGTTACCATCTTTTCCGTATGGCCCTAAGGTTCAGTCGATGTGGGAGCCGGCGACTTCAACCATCAAGTGAGTGGATTTGTATATATGTATACCTCGAGGGAAAGCTTCAGACTGACAGTTTTTGGCATGTGAATAGCTTCTGCGAAGAAGATTTTTATCTCACTGGATGTATGTTCAACTAGTTGCGCAATTTTTAGATCTCGATCTATATGTATCTAACATGGATTATAGATGTCGCTGAGGTCATGAACGTCATTACCAACAGTCTGTATATCTGGCTCGCCTACAAAGGTGCCACCCACGTCTTCAAACACGACCACCCCAGGATATTCGCCTTGTGCTTCATAAGCTATGGGATCATCGGCATCGGATCAATATTATTCCATGGGACCTTAAAATGTAATGATTTCCCAGTACCTTAATTATTATTAATTTATACCTGCAGGTTAGGGAATAAGAGGTCGATGTACTAAACTAGTGGACACACAGACTCGATGCAGCTCGTCGACGAGTGCGCCATGATCTATACCGCCCTCACAATGTGCTTCGCAACATTTTCTCACGGCCGGTCCCCCTTAAGACAGTTTCTCGTGCTCCTCGGCTGCGTGGGTATGGGCCTTACTATCACGCTAGTGTACCACTATCTCAAGAACCCGTTGTTCCACCAAAACGCCTTCGCACTCATCATGATCACGCTATTATCACATAGCATGTACATGATGGAAACCCATACCCGGGAGAAGAACCCTGCGGCGACAAATCTGATGTGGAAGATGGTTATCTGGGGTATCTGTGTGTTTTTGGCTGGATTCGGGGTATGGAATTTGGACAATATTTACTGCCAGCAGTTGAGACGGTGGAGGAGGGAGGTGGGCATGCCATGGGGGTTTGTGTCCGGTAAGATATATATAACTATCCCATAGATTTCTAAGATATTAAACGGTAGAGTACCGCTGCTAACAGTAAAATATCATAGAACTCCATGCTTGGTGGCATCTGTTGACCGGTATTGGAAGTTATATACTCCTCATCTGGGGGCAATACCTGCGAGCAACCTTAGATGGAAAAGCCGACGAGTACGATCTGAATTGGCCGTCCCTATTCTCCATCCCTAGTGTAGATAAGAAGGATGTTAAGGCGAAGGGTCAGCAGGCCAACGGCAAGTCCAAAGCCAACGGGGTAAGTGCGAATGGGGTGAACAAGAAGAAGTCTCTTTAAACTTCAACTGTGCATATTTTTCTTTGTCATTTGAGATCGCAGCTTTGCTGATATCCTTCCCACCCTGCATGCGTCTGTTATTTTCTTCTTCTTCTTTTCGCCTCTGTTCCCCCGGGTAGACCTTTTGTTATACGGCAACGGCATATGTGATAGACATCATTGGAATGAGCATTATATCGGAATATATTCTATTACTCTGAATATCTCCATCTTCTTTTTTTCCCTTTCCGAGACCCTCTAAAATTCGGGTCACGGTTTGCAATTGACTCGAGCTTGAATCGAGACTGGACTGTGCGACTTTTTATAAAGATTCTGAAACAGCCGCGGCGCCGTGCGTACGTAACCCGCGGTTTCACTGGCTCCGATGCTGTAATCCGTCTCCCGCCCTCGCAAGCCAGCCCACAAATCCAGCCCGCTGCATATCTGTATGCATGCGTGCCATAGACTAATTAATTAACCCGGTACCCTCACCCGTGGTTTCGCTGCGCTGCCAGAATGACGAATATCAACCGCCCTGTGCGCAAAAGAAGGCAGTTGAAGGCGAGGGCTGTAGCTAATGCTGAACGTGGCCCCAAATTAGCACTGCCAGTAAGAGCTGCTGGTCTTTGACTTAAAACCAGCAGCGGATTGCAACGAGAGTTTGTGCCGTCGTATCTGACATCCTCAACAACTTCAAAACCTCAAAGCCTCAAACGGTGCAAACGTTAACCTCATCATCAAACAACCTCGATTGCTACCTAACCTCCGAGCCAAGGGACCGGCCCGTTAAATAGACGGATACTCAGAAATAAAAGCCTACCTTATGTATACCTGCCGATGTAATTTCCACCTTCACAAATTTCCGGGCCTGGCGGGGATATAATCTCGAATCCTTTAAGCTTGACTTGATTGTCTTCACCACATAACTATAACCACCATAAATTCCGGCCTCAAAGGATAGGCGCGCACCCTACACAAGGCTCTGTCAGCCCCGTCCACCACCATCACCGTTTCTCACCCTCTTCTTCGACTTCCTTCCATCTCGGTCTCCCTTCTATTGAAGCAATATTTCCTTTAGAAAGGCTCCAGGAGGTCGCTTTAGAGGGCTCTGGCCATAGAGCAGGAGTACACCGTTTTCGCACACCATGAACTTCCTCCAACGAGCTGTCGCCGGCGTCGAATCACGCTTGGATCAGGTACTGGCCAGCGATCCGAATACTGCGATTGACAATTCTTTGTCGAGTACAGCTGGGGATTCGAATACCGTCAGCAATACTAGCCCTACACCCACTATTAGTAGCTCGACAACAACCGTTCCTCAAGCTCCGACTGTTATTAAAGGTCATCCATTCCATTAAATGAACCCGCTAGAAGTCGTTCCTTTTTGAGGAAGAAAGGCTAACGTTAGTAATAATGGTAGATGCGAAACCTACACCACCCGTATCCGCGTCACCGACACCGCCGCCAGGAATGGGGAGGATGACAATGCAAGAGCGACTTGCAGCAGCAATGGCTCGTAGCGCCACTACTAGAAGTTCTAGCCCTGCGGTTGGAAGCTTGTCTGAACGAGCAGCGAGTCCTAGTCCGAGTCCTGCGGTGAGGAGATCAGTCGATGACGCAGAAAATGTACGGAAGAGCGTGGACGTCCCAACCGACGACAAAATTACAGAGAGGACGTCATCTGAAGAAACTTCGAAGGTGGAACCGACTACTGAACTCGTAGCAGTATCGACCGAATCAAAGCCTCTAGAAGACCAAGAGCAGCCATCGACAAACGGTATGGAATCTACACCCACCGATCCATCACCACTTCGAACAAGCACCGACACTCCTCGCAAATCCCTCGAATCCCAACCTCGAGTTTCCATCGACGTTAAACCACGAGTGTCACTAGACTCTAGGCCTAGGGCTTCGATAGATAAACCGCGGAAATTTGTTGAGCAACCTGCTACAGCTCCTACCACCACAATATCTACACCGCTCCCCACCACCCTCACCGTCGAAGAACTCGAATCCACCATATCTCAGCTCCGCGATGACCTTGCGACTTGTGAATCCCGTCGGGCTGAGGAAGCTTCTGCTGCCTCGGAGCGCATTGATTCTCTTGAGGAAAAACTAAAATACCTTGCGAAAGAATCGGTTGAAGAGGCCCGTAAACGGATACAAACCGGCGGTTCCTCCGCATTAGAAAAGGAACTCGCGAAACGGGATGAGCGAATCGCGTTGTTACTGGAAGAAGGGGAGAGGTTGAGTAAAATCGAGTTGAAGCATATGAATAATATCAAACGCTTGAGAGCAAAGGCTCAAGAAGATGAAAAAGCTGCTGCAGAGGCGAAGAGGAAACAGGAGAAGGCCGAGAAGGAAGCTTCAGATCTCAAAGAGAAAACAAGGAAAGCTGTTGAAGCCGAGAAACGAGCAAATGAAAAGCTTAGGACGATGAATAGACTGGAGGTTGACAATGAAAGCTTGAAGAGGGAAAGAGACATCCTCCAAATCAGCACTAGCGATCTAAAACTTCAACTTGCAAAGGCAGTAGCTAGAGCAGATGATGCGGAGAGCAAAGTCCAAACAGAAGCTCTAGAAGCTGAGAGGAAGCTCACCGCCGACCTCAGGGAGAAGTTGGAAAAGGCTCAAAATGATGCTACGGCAGACAAGGAGAGGTCTAAAAGCGAAATATGGACATTACAGAGCAAGCTCGAAAGAGATGGTGATAGAGCTAAAGCTGTGGAGCTAGAGCTCAAGAATGAAGTCTCAGTAAGCCATAACCAGCGTAGAGACCTAATTATATATTTCACAATACTAACCTTGCCATAGATGCTAGAAACAAAACTGGAGATCATGCGGGCTCGTGCCGAGGAAGCTTCGACGGGGACTTCGGGTCATACACATGCAAAGTTGTTAAGACAAATCGAAACACTTCAATCACAATACGCCGTTGCGAGTGAAAACTGGCAGGGCATTGAAGCTAGCTTGATGACGAGGCTTACAAACGTAGAAAAGGAACGGGACGAGCTCTCTCGTAAAGAAAGTGATGTCCGGAAGAAGGCTAGAGAAGTGGTATGCAAAATAACGACATTTTATCACAATATATTACTCGAACCACTCTAACAATGATACAATATAGAATCAAAAACTCAAACGCATGGAATCCGATCTTGAGTCTGCCAACCTCAAAATCCAAGACCTCGAATCCTCTCTCACCACCCAGCTAACCCTCTGCGACGACCTACGCAAACAAGTGACCCTACACGAAGACTCTAAACTCCAACTCACTAAGAAACAAGATGAAGAACGAACCGCCTGGCAAAAGGAAATCAACAACCTTAGAGATTCTCTGAAAACAGCTTCGTCAGCTATAGTAGATGACTATGCATCTCGACCGAAATCACGACCAAACTCGATATTGGAAGCAGAAGGGGCAATAAGGCCATTATCGCCTAACCCAAGACCAAGAAAGCAGAGCATCGGATCGGATATGAATGCTCCGTTCCCTTCGAAACGAATGTCAAGGACAGAGTCTGGTGATAGGCTAAATGAAGGACCGGGAGGTTATAGACGACCCACATTACCAGAACCGACCAGGCAGTACACACCGAGTTGGGGACCTACAACACCTCGATTTGATTCTATGTCGGGATATGGCGGCGGAGGGAACATATCTCGTCAAAACTCATTATTTGGTGGGTTTGGCGGACCAGGTGCGGGCATGGGAATCTCGGTGGGGAATTACCCGAGTACACCGTCATTTAGTACTTCGATGGTGAGTCCTGGCATGCCGGCGCAAGATGGAGATAACGAAAGCATATTTGAAGGAAATGGAGGTCTCATGAGCCCCAGCAGTCAAGAAGGAAGAAACGGTGGTGCACATCTGGGCGAAATTCTCAGCGTGTCAACAGTAGCCGCGGGCCCCAGCGTTCAACTTGTGGAGCGGATGTCAGCAGCAGTAAGGAGACTGGAGAGTGAAATGGCTAGTAGTCGAGAAGAGCTTGTGAGGATGACAGCACAAAGGGACGAAGCCAGAGCCGAAGTCGTGGCATTTATGACAGAAGTTGATGAGAAGCGGTCGTTGGAGACCAGGTTGCAAGCGCTCGAGACAGATCTAAAGGAGAAGGACGGAGCCTACGAGGCCACGTTGGTCATGTTGGGAGAGAAGAGCGAGGAGGTGGAGGAATTGAGGAACGATGTGGCGGATTTAAAGCAGATGTATCGGGATTTGATCATGAGCCAGACGAATTCATAGCTGTTGGCATCTTCACGTTATCCTTAGCTGCCTTCACGCTTGCGTACAAGGATGCGAAGCAATTGAAGCTTATCTTTGGCATTTGTATATACTTGGGGTTTTTAGCGCATTGTATTACGGTGGGAGTTATTCAAGCTTAGCCTGACGATTTATATTACATATCCTTACTTATATACTGCCGGATAGGAGGAGTTTTTATTCTTTGTATTCTGTTTTATTTCATGAATTCGTATGAACCTGAAAGTTTGGGATAATATAATAGCCAGCATGCATATGTGTAGAAGTTTATGTTTCGAGAATGGACAGAATAAATCTTAGCCAGCAGTACACGTGACCCGAGATATAAGATGCCATCGAATATGAATAAAAGATATAATACTCCAAGTTTCGCCTGATATCGATGCAGACACGAACAGTAAACCCAAGATATAGACAGCTATAGAAACCCCGAAAAGAAGAGGAGAAGGAGGATGAATAAGAAGAGCAGGAACAATAACAAGGCACATACGGTTGAAAACAGCTTCCATGAGATCCCGTGTACAAAACTGCCGCCCTTATATAAGCATGAAGAAGAAGAAGCTAACTACCTCCTAAGTAAATATAAAATGCCCAAATATAATAAAAAAATACTAACTTTTTGCGTGACCACAGCTTCCACCTTTCGTTAACGAACTATTTGGTCAAGGGATTCGAGGGGTGGCTAGAGTTCGACACGAAGCCCCCAAGTTCCTCTTTATAATGTTTCTTTTTTATAAATCTTGAATGATAGATGAATCACCGCCATTTCTGTTCACCCTTTTTGTTCCCCGGTCGCTCAGCAAAAAGTCCATCACCCTTCATACCCATTGTCTTTCTCCTCCCGCTATTCCATCCATCTTCTTCAAGATTGCTTCCGCTCTCCACAAGATCCATCAGTACCGCCCCAATATTTTGTACAAAACCCCAAACACCTTGGAAATCGGCCCAAGTAGCATCCCAATCGAAACCCGGAATTACATTTCCATCATCCCCTAGCTTTCCAGTAGATCTTTTGTTATAGTAGTTCATGCAGGCCAAGACGACACCGATTACGAAGAATAATTGGAAGATATTCCGTGTTACGGACCAGATGAAATTTGTGATTTTGGTGACGATGCGGAGGACAAAGTAGACGGCAGAGACTAGAAGGACTATGGAAACTAATGTTGGGTTTTGGTTATAGAGATTGTTTAAGATCGGGTAGACGATTTTGAGGGCATGGGCGAGGACAGCACTGGCATGGTTGACTGCGACTTTGGCATATGGATAGGCTTGGACAACGAAATCGTCCATGATGGATAAAAATGGGTGTCTAGGTTGTTTAGATAGGGCGTAAGATTTGAAGGGAGTGGATTTCGAGGTTCTCCTCAGGCCGGTGGCAGGAGCTGGGAAGATAGAAGGAGAGACTGTGGCAGTAGTTGTGGTGTTCGTTTCGTGGGTCGTATTAGGTGATGCAGGAAGCTCAAGCGTAGCAGCAATATCTTTCTCCTCCCGTGGGGAACTATAGGATGGAAGCCACGGGGATATAGAGTCTTTAACACTAGTAATTTTGTTAGCGATTGCTGATGAAGATATGTTTAAATTTCTAGTAGATGACCAGATGAGAGAGGTAGCAGAGAGTGCTCCGATGCTATAAGACGAATTCCGGCTAGGCCGATATTTAGAGCTCCAAGGGGATGGGTTCCCCATCGTAGAAGATGTAGTTTCTCTCTGGTTTTTCTAGGGATATATGGATTGAGTTTGATGGCAGGGTGTGTGTATATATAAACCATACCTCGAATGTTAGTCAAGTTAGTTCAAGCTATCCATGCAGCAGGCGCGAAGCAGGCAAGCTCGATGAAGGGCGTTTGAACTCGCGATGTTGTAACAAACTAGACTACGGATTGAGCCCGACAATTCGTTTCACGTCGTAAATGATAAGGGAGAGATAGACGGTGAGGTATAAGAGATATCGTCGAGATTGAGGGGGGATGGCGGGGTTCTCTCGAGGGGAAGTGGGAGAGGTGGAGTGGAATGGGATGGAGGTCCTAATAAGAAGTCGCGGAAGGACGAAGGATGAGTTGGGGTGGTATACCAGTAACAACAGCTGGCACCATGACAACGCAGCCTGCAGAACAACAGCTCACGGCCTCAGTATCTACCCCAAACGTCGACGTCGACGCTTCTATCTTTCCTTTTTTTCTGATTGGAAATTGTGACAGGTCATTTCTTTCATTCATTTAATTAATAAAACATACTTTTTTAAAGTAGAAAGTAAGTAAGTAAGTACTTTTGTCCCATTCAATGGACTAAGAATAGATAATAGATTGTAAACCAATGCGGTGTAATATCAATCTACAACGCCTCGCCAGTTTCCTGCTTCTTCAAACCGTATTTCTTCAATCGGATAGCCTGCACGCTGATGAATCCGGTGGTCTCACTTGGTGCAAAGTCACCAATCTCGTCCATGCTGCTCTCGCTCATATCGTACAACTTCTCAGTCTCTGAGCTTCGTCCGAGAACGGTAAACGATCCCTTGTAGCATCGACATCTGACTTGTCCGTTCACATTCTTCTGCGAGGAAATGATAGCATCCTCCAGGAACTCACGCTCTGGTGAGAAGTATAGACCATTGTACAAGATCTTGGCGTAGTTGAAGGTGATAAATTGGTCTCGGAGGGCGCGAACTTCACGGTCCAAGACAAGACCCTCGAGGTCGACGTGGGCATTGCGGAGACAGGTGAGACCGGGTGTTTCGTAACATCCTCGAGACTTGAGGCCAATGAATCGATCTACGCAAATATAATTCGTTAGTATCTATCACATCGTATCCAAGTAAAATAGAAGCTATAGTAGAAGAAACATACTCTCAACGATATCAATCCTGCCAACTCCGTTCCTCCTAGCAATAGCATTCGCCTTCAAGAACAACTCCAATGAATCTGTTGTTTCAGTTCCATCCTGCTCCACGAGCTTAACTGGTAGACCCTTTTCAAAGAAAACAGTGAAATCCTCTGGCTTCTCTGGTGCATCCTCGGGATCAACTGTGAGCTTCCACATATCCTTTGGTGGGGTGACATCTGGATCCTCGAGGATACCGGCCTCATAGGAGCAATGTGCAAGATTCTCATCCATGGACCATGGCTTCGACTTAGTCTGGGAAACAGGGACACCTTGCTGGGCGGCATAGTCCAACAAATCGTTCCTACCCTTGAATCTTTCGTAAAAGATTGGATCACGCCATGGGGCGATAACCTTAATCTTGGGGTCTAACGCATAAAATGCGAGCTCGAATCGGACTTGATCGTTACCTTTACCTGTGCACCCGTGGGAGACGGCGAAGCAACCTTCCTTCTTTGCGACAGCCATCTGACCACGGGCAATAACAGGGCGGGCAAGGGAGGTACCGAGGAGATAGACGTTTTCGTAGATGGCATTGCATTGGATGGCGGGGAAGCAGAGTTGGTCGACGAATTCCTTTCGGAGGTCGTCAACATAGCATGCTTTGGCACCGACTAGTAATCACATGTACATTAATGGCAGTTCGTCTAGGAACAATCATGATCAGTAGTTCGGGGTGCATACTCTTCATAGCTTTGACTTTGGCAGCCTCGAAGTCCTCTGCGCGTCACTTCCATCAGCATACATATCTCAACAATGCAATTGACATCGTCAAGACGTGAAAATACCTTCCTGGCCGACATCAGCCACTATGGACAATCGATTAGCATCTCCTAGACATACAAGCTAAAAGATAAGTCAATTGGGTGGAAGACCTACTATAGCACACGACCTCATAATTTTGTTCCAACAGCCATGCCAAACTACCCCACAAACAAATTAGAAACCAATGCTTCAATACTAGCGTACTTAAGTAGAGACTGATCAAACTCACATGCAGCTGGTGTCCAAACCACCACTATGCCATCGATTAAATTAGCATCCAATTTACAGTGTGAGAAGCTGGAGAGCTTCATCAATGATCGAACCCGACTTACGAGTAAGCTAAGCAGACCTGTAACCACGACCACAGTTAACAACTATTCATTTCTAATTGCAGATTCAATAACAAGCAGTAGTTGTAAACTCACCTTTCCCTTCGACATTGTTCGTATTTCAGTGGCCATAGAATACAATCAAGAGGTAGGTGTAATTTGAGAAGAAGAAGAAGAAGGTATAGAAACGAGGCTGGAAAGGAAGAATTTGGAACTCAAACGGGACTACAAATGGTTTGTTGGGAACTAAGCAGGAAGAGAGATTTACCAACGGAGAAATCTTCCAAGAAATTTATACCGACGCTTTCCTCTTAATATACCGCAATGACTCTTTTTCTCTTCTATTCAATAGGTTGGCTAGCATCGGATAGTTCCCAGCTGCATCAGGCTAATATATTTCTATTCTATCTTTTTTTTTACATTTCATTCCTTGCATGCAGATAGGGATTAATTTTCTATGCAGCATCTTCTGAATTTCCCCGCCGATTTCGCTAGCGTTTGGGGCGACAACAGCTCGACGGCCTGTTTTCGGTAGCGACAAACGATGGAGGGGTAACTTTCAAAGGTCCCTGGTCCTTGCACTAAATCAAAAGATAGGATAATACCGTATGCATCATGGTCCTGACAGGAATTGGCCCCGGGACTAGTCCGGTCAGGCCGCCACCGGGAACTACGAAAATTCAAATTTTCATCCCGGTGGACCGCTACTATTCCGAGTCTGGTTGTAAATTATATTTTTACGTCCTTGGGAGCTCACAGGGTGGATCTTTCGATTTCAAGTGAATGCACGACACACACTTTGACATCCGACTGATGTCGGCGGTTCCTTTTCTTGGTCTCGAAGCTATGCAACTTTCATATTGTTGCATGCTTGCCTTAATGTTATTTTATTTTGGGCTTCATTAGTAGACATAAATGATTGGGAAAGTAACCACCACCTTCAACCTTGAGAAGCAGTTCTTTATAATTTGAAAAAAAGGGTGGGAAAGAAGAGTAATAAAAGTGAAAGGGGCGATAAGAAACAATATCTGAAATTTCCCTCCTTCCTGTTAACCCTCTTTCCTCCGAATCCTTGAGACAAGTCGAGATGTCTTTTAGAGTTGCAAGTGTATAGGTATTTACCAGGACCCTTCCAATAACAATAGCTCATCCATGCAAAGAATCCGCTTCAAAGAAAGGAAGCCAAAAGAAGAAGAATTGGAAAAATAAAACAAGTTATCGAAACCGTTACACCTCTTCACAATAAAACAAAAAGACTATCAAGTGATAATCTACTCTTCGTGTTGCTCCTCATCGGCATAAGCCTCCTCCTCACCATCAGAGACACCAGCCTCCTGGTATTGCTGGTACTCAGAAACGAGATCGTTCATGTTGGACTCAGCCTCAGTGAACTCCATCTCGTCCATACCCTCACCAGTATACCAATGCAAGAAAGCCTTACGACGGAACATGGCAGTGAATTGGTCACCAACTGTAAATAGGGTTAATCGTTAGCAAGAAAATCCGGCATACGGACATAGGTACTTTAGTGTCGGATATACATACCTCTCTTGAAGAGCTCCTGGATGGAGGTCGAGTTACCGACGAAGGTGGCGGACATCTTCAAACCACGTGGTGGGATGGAGCAGAGAGCGGTCTGGACGTTGTTTGGAATCCATTCAACGAAGTAAGCAGAGTTCTTCTGCTGGACATTCAACATCTGATCCTCAACTTCCTTCATGGAGACCTTTCCACGGAAGAAAGCGGCACAGGTGAGGTATCGTCCGTTACGGAAGTCAGAAGCAGCCATCATGTTCTTAGAGTCGAACATTTGCTGGGTGAGCTCTGGAACGGTAACGGCACGGAAGCTGTGTGCACCACGGGAGGTGAGAGGAGCGAATCCGACCATGAAGAAGTGGAGACGTGGGAAAGGAACCATGTTGACGGCAAGCTTTCTCAAGTCAGAGTTCAATTGACCTGGGAAACGCAAGCAGGTGGTAACACCAGACATGACAGCGGAGACCAAGTGGTTGAGGTCACCGTAGGATGGGGAGGAGAGCTTGAGGGTACGCATGCAGATATCATACAAAGCCTCGTTATCGATACAGAAGGTCTCGTCGGAGTTTTCGACCAACTGGTGGACGGAGAGAGTGGCGTTGTAGGGCTCAACGACGGTGTCGGAGACCTTTGGAGATGGGACGACTGAGAAAGTGGCCATCATACGATCTGGGAACTCTTCACGGATCTTGGAGATCAAAAGGGTACCCATACCGGCACCGGTACCACCACCGAGGGAGTGGGTAATCTGGAAACCTTGAAGGCAGTCACAGCCTTCGGCCTCACGACGGACGACATCAAGAACTTGGTCGACGAGTTCGGCACCCTCGGTATAATGACCCTTCGCCCAGTTGTTACCAGCACCAGACTGACCAAAAACGAAGTTGTCTGGACGGAAAAGCTGGCCGAAAGGACCGGAGCGGACAGCGTCCATGGTACCGGGCTCAAGATCGATGAGAACGGCACGTGGGACATACTTGTTACTCGAAGCCTGTTGTAAATTCTGTTAGGTTTGGGTGTTTTTAACAAAAACGCAGCGCAAAAAGACAAGCCTAACCTCGTTGAAGTAGACCTAGACGCGATTATGTTAGTTTTTGAATCTAAATAATACATATATATTGAGAGTAGCAGACGTACATTCATCCTCTCGAGTTGGAGGTCAGAGGTGCCATTGTAAACACCGGAGCCGTCGAGACCATGCTCAGCTGTGAGACACGAATATTAGTTAAATCTGTCCGAGACGATAGTCGCGGGAGGACGTTTTTAAGCTCGAAACATACCGGAGATGGTTTGCCTATGTCGAGTCTGTTAGCTACCATGAACACACGATGGACAAGAGATCAGGATTGTGAGACAACATACCAGAAAGCAGCACCAATTTGGTTACCCTGCAAGACGGTTAGTATATATAAATATATGGATCCTGAAACAAGCGAGAAAGAAGCCGATAGAGCAGCAGCAGCAACAGCTACCAAGGAGACATACGCATTGACCGGTTTGGAGATGGACCTGGAGGTAGAATTAGATGTTAGCTGAACGTGTCTGGGTAAGATAGAGAGCTACGCGGTCTGGTATTGAGCTTCGATAGAGCTATCACGCCACCAAACCCGATAGACACGAATCAAGGGAGCGACAAAAACGAGCAAAAGGACTTACGATTTCACGCATTTTGAAGGTAAGGTAAGAAGAAAGGTAGTTTGAATAAGAACTTTAGCGAGTAAATGGAGCTTATTATGAAGCTGTAATGTGAGGATGGTGATGATGGGGGTTAGGTTGAGGGATGAGATGGGGAGAGAAGAAGGAACAGAAGTTAAATAAGGAGAGTCTCTGATAGTCAGTCGGTGCCAGTCAAATTTGCTGGGCGGCCAACGCTCTCTGTTTTCCACTCTCTGCTCGGTAAGGAGCAGCAGCCGAGTGGGGAAATTCGGACGCCAACAAGCAAAGCACTCTTATTTGTTGATTTCGCTCGTATCAACAAACTAGTCCTTCTTGGGAGGCTAAATTTTCTCTGGACAACTGTGGACTAGTAATTACAAGGAATTGGCCAGGGACCTGTATTTGTCTTGCGCGTGAACTGGCAGCTGTTGGCCAGGGTCGTCTGCACTGCGCTGCGTGCATATCTGCAGTGCGCCTTTGGGGCGTGGAATCGAACGCCCGTACATACATATACATGCATACCATACCTCCAAGCTTGCTGACATATCGGTACCTACTTTTTTTTTGTTTCAACTGAACTTTCGAGCTGATAGTAAGGGGTGGGTTATATATTTAAGAAGGTAGGTACTCAAGTAAGTAAATCGAAGTACTATTTAGTGGTTAAGAAAGAATAGACCTGAAATATTCTATACCCTGTATAGTACATATGTGCATACACACACAGATGACGCCAAATACAATCCAAGTTAAGCTAAACCTCCCATATCTTCAAGCTTCACCCTCTATTACAGTACATAAGTAAGTAAGTCAATAAACAGGCAAGTAAGTAAGTGCATACATATACTCTATAGCCTGCATCCTCAATATTAATATGAAACAAGTGAGAAGCCAGTGCAAACCAATCCCATAAGACATCAACCTCAATTCAAAAAAACGCTTACCGGTATACCCTAGTTTCTCCGACTTGTCCGGGCTGTCTTCTTGCCCTTTGGATCTTCCTCCTCTTCCTCCTCTGCCCCCTTCACTAGATCTCCCTCCTTCAGGCCCCAGTACTCCAAGTCCACATAATCCTCCCCGTCGCTTAGATCTGGTGCCCCATCTGCACGGCACCAGTTCCAAACATCCTTACGCTGTCGGTCAGCTTTCAACAGCATGGCACGAACCCTTTCCAGCCCTCTGATGAATTCTTCTTCCTTTTGTACAGCCAACAGCAGCAGTTGCCGGGTCTCTTCAGCTTCCTGTGGTGGGAGACCAAAATTTCTAGCATCTTCATCGCGTGCCGGCGGGTAGAACCAGGGAGAAGTACAATTTATGATCTCGTACGGATCCACACCGGCTGGGAGACCTGCAGGTGCAGAGGTAGTACCATCAATTATTTGCATGACGTTCGGGTCGTCGTTGGTTACCGCTGCCGGTGGGTTCTGAGGCAGTCTGTTCTGTGCTGTCGATGATGATTCACCTGCGGCCTCTGCGAACCCATCTGGCGGGGATGGATGCTCAACCTTTGGTATCGGCGACTTTGCTGGTACTTCATTTGTAGGCAGCTTTTCGGCACCCTCATCCGGTCTTGCACTATCCAACATTTCGATATCCCCGTCAGGTATCGTCGATTGGGTCTCTTTCGGCTGGCTCTCCAGTTCACTGGCGACAGCCTTTGCCCTTTCCCGTTCCTGAATCATAGCCTGTGCCTCTTGGATAAACTTCGGCGCCACTACCGACTCCATCTTATCGCCCGAAACCCACGGATCATCCCCCAATAAGTGGGTTAATAGTCGTTTTATCGTGACAAGATGTTTATGTTCGGCGCATATTATATCCAAGACTTGGTCGCATAGGTCGGTTAGGTGCCGGGATTTATATGGTATTGATAAGGCAGGGTGGTTCGGTATGTCCTTCGGCTCGACGGCAGGCGCAAGGAGAGCTAGAGGACAGTCATTTTTAGTCGGCGTCTTTGGGAAGAGATGGGCTACCAAGGGGGAAAAAGGGCAGTCGTACTCTCAAGATGAATATTGGCATAAGGGTCCAGATCAACAGGGCCCTCTTCTTCGATATTAGCATTGGCCTTCTGTTTTCTCTTTCTTCCCGACCCCGGTGCCCGCTGTTCTTCAGGTTCGTCCCGCTTTCCAGTGTTTCGATAAAGAATCATTCGTTGCCGGCCATTGTACTCGATCACCTAGTACTCCCAATTAGACCGGCCCCATCGAAGAGTTTTCCTTGTACATAATAGTATTTCTTTACCTCCGGCGTGAGTTTCTTCCCCGTCGGTTCGTCGAGACTCCCGGCATGGACTTGTCGCGCCTTCCTCTTGAGTTTGTTCCCTCTGTTTGTACCGTATGCGACTTCTGTTTCGTCCGAGTCCGATGCTGTAACAAGACTGTCAGTGGAATCCTCAGGGCGTATATTAGAATATAATAGAATGGTATCGTACAGTCATCGTGTCTCCTGACGGCAGCCTTACAGTCTCTGCGAGCGAAAAAGATTATGTCAGTTGGAGAAGTTCGAGACTGGGAGGTAGTTGGACAACCCACGCGATAATCTGAAGAAGTGTAGCCTTTTCGGCGGCAGTTTGCGACATCGTAGAATTCGATAAATACGGAACAGAACAGAAGTATAAAACTTATGGCCCAGATAACAATGTTGATAAGTATCTGAATACCTACGTACCAAAGTTTGAGGTCCAGCTGCCGAGGAGAAAACGAGGTGGGTTGTAGGAATGGCGATGCAACTTGATCAAGGTGAAGGTGAAAGAGGCTCTCGCAGCCGGTCAATAATAATTTTGGGGACGAATCGGCCTTTTTTTTAGCTCCGACCCACCAAACCATTAAACATTCTTCTACCACATCCAACCACCACCACAGCCGCCAATTGATCACCTATCGTCATCTCTCTCGACAAAACGTCTTGCACAAAGTCAGTACTGGCGAACGAGGTACTAAGTCACTCTAACCTACTCAAAGGATTATACATAATCGAAACTTGAGACCTGGGAGTAAGTTACATACCCGTCCATTCCTTGCTTCGGTTGGATGCTTGGTACTTGAGTACTTCCCTACTCGAGCTTGAGCAAGTATGGTTAAAGCAGTTGTCCGAGGAATATATACGCTAACGTGTCTTGTATTATACGATAAGAACCTCGTAGGAACACGCCAATGCCTGTCTAATTATAGCCCGTAGACGAAGAAGACCTTCTCCTCTTCCTCCTCTTCTTCAATACAATTCACCGCGACAAGTCGAAATCATGGAAGCATACCCGCCTGAATACTTTACCACCCCGCTACCCCTACTGGTGGTAGCCGGTCTGGGTAATACTGAGTCGCATACTGCCTTGCCGCCATACCCGCTACTCGAGAATGCTACACTCATCAGCTGCGATGAACCCTTGGTAAACTCCAAAGTCGGCGAGGATCTGCTTCAGTATTTCCTCAAGAGCAGTGCAGATTCGGGATGGAAAGGAACTATCAAACGAGGAGGAAGGCCGCCAAATTCGTCCGCGTTTAGGGTCGCTGCTGTCGGAAGGGTAGTCTTTCCTTCCTCAAACACCACTATTATATCACCACTATCCTCATATACCACCAAAATAGCTACCTGAAGAATCACGAATGATGTTTGTAAACCATTATGCTTTCAAATCACATTCGGATATTCAGCAATGTTGGATGGAGTGCAGACGAAATTGCTGACATATTATAATCGGGACCTTTTCTCTGATCAACAGAACTTTGCATTGCCGCCCCGAAAAGCGAATCCTCCCTTCTCAGAGTCTGGTGCTACTTCACCATTAGAGGTCATGTCTCCAAAGACGCCTACAAGTGCTGGTTTTCCAAAACGGCCTCTGCATTCGCCTATATCACCACTGACTCCAGACTCACCCCTCTATCCGGACGGCGTTTTCAGCCATATATGGCTTCGGAAGCACCTCTACTTACAACCTTGCGCCTTTGTCTCCTTCCATGAATTCGCTGTTGTACCAGCGGCCCAAGAAGAAGCCGCCGACAGAGCCCTTGCAACTTCCATCAATGAAATGAAAAGGGCCTTCCTCGCTGATCCACGAAAGATCAAATTTGCCGTTGTCCTAATCGCCCAGAAAACCCTCCTCGAAGCTCCATCTATCGAGAACAGATTCGCAATGATCCGGAGGCTGACAAGTTTGGATACCAAGAACTCCCTGTTCTTCTTACCTGCAAAAGCCTCGAGTGTCGAGCTTCAGCAATTAGCAAAAAGTGTAGAATTATCTTTAACACCGACAGCCATAGAGTTTTACCGGGAGCTATCGAAACACGCGCGTAGGAAGCGCAGTCGTTCTTCAGCTCCGGTAGCAACTGTACCGCCTAGCTCAATGTCGCAGACCTTAAGCAATACAGGATGGACCGTACGGTATGAGATGAAGCTTGCACTCTTTGCGGAATTCCGAGCAGAGATGGATGCCGCAATTCGTCATTACGAAACGGCATACGAAGCCTTGCTAGAAGTATTCGAGACTACAAACAATTGGAGCCCCCGTTGGAACGATATACGGCTACTTGCAGATGTTATGGCAGCTCGGACGATAAGGTGCTACATATACTTCGAAAATGGAACATTAGCAGCAAGGAAATGGGAAACGCATCGACGGCGCATGGCAGATATACTCGACCGCAAGGGTGCTGGGACGAGCACGTATGGCTGGGCAGCATGGGAAGCGCGGTGGGCAGTCATCATGGCAACAATAGTTCACGGATCGAAGATATTCACACCTGACCCCAAAGCCAACGATATCCCGCACTTTTACGCACCAATAGACAAATCTATCAAGGTGGATGAGAGAGTTTCCGCGATAGAGCATCTCCATCACGCAGGTTTTTACTGGATGATGGCTGTATCTTTCTCTAAGCTGCACAACCGGAGAGTCGACAGATTACCCGAGTCAGATTCGCCCGTCGACCTGTATCTTGTAAAAGCTCCAGAAGAAGAGCAGCAAGTGGATCTGTTATCGGCAACTATCAGATACCTGAACGCAGGTGCCGCCACATTTGTAGAAAAGGGTCAGTCACGGCTAAGAGCAAGAGTGTTATTCGAGCTTGCGCAACTCGAGATGTCTAGGGAGAACTGGCAGGTGGCCCTCGATAGCTTGAAAATTGGCCTCAGATCATGGAGGGCGGACCGCTGGACCCCAGAGATTCTCAAGGAAGCTTTGACTTTGGCGCGAGGCTGTGCACTGAAGATATCAGATGCGGCTTCGGCTTTGACGACAAGTTTAGAGTTGCACAGCAAAGTCCTTCCAGAGGGTACGCAAGTACCCGAACTAAGCAGCTGCCTAACCGATATTGAAGGTGGTGTACAAGGAGAAACTACACTAGCAATACGTGCCCCGGATATTCTTCCAGTGATATCTGCTGAGTATGCATTTCTAGCTACCGAGGTATCAGTCGGGGAGTTGGCCATCTCGCAACTTGTCTTAAAATCACAGGCTCAATCAGGTTCCCCTCACCTAACTCTTCATGAAGTAAAGGTTGAGTACAAGGGAATGCTGAAGTCACTTGTTATTAGACACGAAACAGTAGAAGGCGCATCAGACTTCCAGGATATGAAATCGAAGCTAAAAGAAATCACCCCGAGCGATGGCAAAAAAGCATATGTCGAAGGTGTCGCAGATCTAGCTTTAAATCCCGGCCAGATCAAAGTATTTGAATTAAGTTCCCCCCTCCGAGAACACGGAGACGTAAGAGTTACTTCAATTACTCTGACCCTCCGCGGAGAAGGATATGACATTGATTTGATCATCGACATCGACGACTACAACCCCTTACTTCTCAAAACGAAGAAGGCGTATGTTTGGAAATACACGAACTCGGTATTGACTAAGGTACCATTGAAGACCTATAGATCCATGTACTTGAAAATCTTACCTCGACCTCCAAGACTTATGGTCAAGATCCTGCGTTTGGATGACCCTGTATACATCGGCGAGCCTATTAGGATCGCGCTAGGAGTGGTCAACGAGGAAGATGAAGAAGTAGATGCAAGAATGAAGATCCGGATACTGGGGTATCCTGATGAAAGTATGTCCATATTCGGCCATAGCAGATGACTCTAACATTCGCTAACCATATGACACCAATTAGTTCCACTTATTACCTGGGACCGAACGGAAACTTCAGACGCCATAGAAGACGACCCAGAAACGCCCTACCAACTAGGCAGGATAGCTCCATCTGAAGAAATCCGACGATCATTCACCATCCCCTCTGCTGTTTTAGAGGCTGAAGTCTCATTAGAAGTCATCTCACTCTATGTCCTAACATCTGATCCAGAAACACAAATCTCTAAAACCGTCAAGTTACCCCCATTCCACGTCCGACGTCCTTTCAGGACAAAATTTGATTTCTCGCCTAGTGTGCATTCAAAGAAATGGCCGAATATGTTCAGGCTATCAACCGAGGAAGCTAATCGTGAATCTCATGAGGATGTACCGAAGGGATTAACGCAAAGATGGGTGTTTAAGTGCCAGATATCTTTGATGGAGGCAGGGACTTTGGTCCTAGATGGGTTTGTATGCGATGTAGCGAACGTTCAGGGTGGGATTGTGTGCCAACTTTCGAGGGCAGATGAGGTAAATGAACAGGGTTATGGTACGTCGGTTCTTCTGAGTAGTCTATGAATATATATAATAGCGCTAACGGGTTTGTAGAACTCAAACCGGATTCGATTGTCGACATTATCTATATTCTAGAAGTCACAAAGCATGCTCTAGAAGATAGAAGATCCTCGGATGTAGATCTAGACCTAAAAGTTAAATGGCAGCGGCCAGGAGGCGAAATAGTAGTGACGCCCTTGGCGGTTCCAAGGCTTCTCATCCCCGGCAGCGAACCGAGGGTCCTCGCCGGTAAGTGGTCTCGTCATTCGTTTACAATCCGACCTCTTTTTTTTGAAAAAAAAATTACGGACTTCACTAACAATATCGAATAGAAGCATCGCCGTACATCCCAGACACCAACATCATAAACCTAACTTACACTCTCGAAAACCCCACTATGCATGTTCTAACATTCAACGTATCAATGGATCCTAGCGATACATTCCATTTCGAAGGACCTAAACAGCCCGGCGTGCAACTCATGCCGTTGACTAGACTGGTTATGGAATATAGAATTTATCCCAGGATAAAGCATGATTGGATCAGAGCTACGTTGAGGGTCGTGGATAAGTACTACAACAAAAACTTGAGAATTGCAGCTACGGACGGGGTCAAGGCGGCTGATAAGGGTGGGTTGTTGGTTTGGGTCCCTTAGAAGACCTTTTTTTATTTATTTAGCATGCCGATTGGGTGTGAATATGCATTTTGAGAAGGGGAATAATCATTTTGGAGTTTGCATATTCTAATTTCATCTCAGTAGCGTAATTACTTTTATTTCTTTGTGTGCGTATGAAGAAAAAGAGACGATGGCAAGCATCCAATGATAATGACAATGATATATTTCTAGACCGATTGGAACGATCAATTCTCTTAAGGATAAAATATAGCACTGCAAAACTATCTTTAGTTAATCCAATCCTATAGACCCACCCCAAAATTCCGAACATTTTAGGTAGTAGTACACCAAAACGTCGTCTAGTATCCTTATGAAAGACTCCCAAATAATGAAGGAAAGCACTCATGCACCAATCGCCAGCATAATGATATCAAAACCTCGCCCAAGCACAAACACAAGTACGGATACCCGTTACATTAATCAAGCACCCTGTTTTCTCAGCTCCATCAAGTAGCATAGGATCCACCTATCCTTTCTTCACTATCTCTCTCCCAGACTGTCCTTGTTGAAAGTACAACCGGCTTAAGCCTCATCTTCGTACTTTATTTTCGTATAGTCGAATGCTCCATCCGGATATTGTTTATTTGAATAACCCGCCGTCGATGAGGATGACGATCTAGTAAGTCCGTTGACATGGTCTTTATCCTGCTTTATCCCTTTACCCTGCGCAGGAACAGCCGACCCATCATGTCCTAAAATATCTTGGTTCTGAGCGTCGACAAGAGTTGAACCCTGAACATGGGATAACGGAGTAGCACTAGGATCAATATTAGATCCCATCGCCACATCTTCATCGTTTGGAACTTTAGAATCAGACCGTGATCGTTCGGAATCCCTTCCCTTACAGATACAGACACTAGGGCTAGTGGGCACGTGAAGCGACCCCAACATCTCGATATCAGGATTTTTGATTTTGACCATCCCAAATGTGAACGTTGGTTCTTTAACGTAAACCCTGTCGTCGGTGATCCATTCCACCCTAACATCCCTTTCTGATTGTTTAATATGTCGCATCTCAGCAGATGCTATTGCCATGATCGATGGTGGAATGTCCTTTAGACTACATTTTATCCCGGCGGTATCGGATTGATCGCTCAGGGGGTCATTCATGTATAGGAAGCCTCCACAGACGAGGGGAACTCCGTCGGGGACTGAGGCTTGTGAGTTTATGCTAAAGGTTTTGTAGGCGAGGATTTGGATGTTGGGAGGGCGGAAGATTTGGGACATGCTTTTTCTTCTTCTTCTTCTTATTTTCTTCTTTGTTTATATGAGTTATGATAAGCAGGAGGGTAAGTACTGATTAAATGGGCGAAGAGTCCTCCTTGAAGCTGGTATGAGTGGTTATGTATGAGTTTAAATCTCAGATCGAGGCTATAGCTTATGGTGGGGGAGAAGCCTCCGGGAGGTGACGCTTTAGAGACCTTAAACGATTGGGATGTAAGCAGTTAAGAGGTATTCTGGCAAAATAGATTAAGTACTAAAGAGTGGGTGTCGAAACGATGAGGGATGGTTGAAGTAGTGGAGATGTTGAAGAGTCTTAGAACCAGAGAGAAGGTTTTGGATGTTTTATACATTACAACTGATCTCGTGCTCACTGACCTGGTTACTGAGGGATGCATGGGGATAGTGAAATAGAGCTACATACACACCCATATATATATACTTACTATAAATCCATATCTTGTACTCACGCAAAACTTACGACTATCTTCAATTCTGTACGGCGCTAAAGTGTGGTTTGCGCCTTCCTGTAGCCCGAACTCAATTGTGGACGATAGATCTGGTGCAGTTGTAAACGCATGTAAGTACGTTCAGTTTGGGGTTTTAACCAGCCACCGTCATTGGCTTGAGTCTAGCTGCGGACTTACATTTATGTAGTACGTTATAATCAACATTTTTATCTTGTCAATTCCGTAAACCAAATACTACTGTTTATGGATATATGGATGTCATTGCACATTCGATGCCTCATAAATTTGACCTGAACGGCAGCCGCCTGACAGCTTTAATACCGAGCGTGAGCAAGCCCGAGAAGCCGAAACAACGGAGTATCTCCAGGCAAGACTCTAAAAAAAAACCACTTGTTACTGTTGAACAATGGGTTTTGAGGTGTAGAATTTGGTTTACGAATATGCAATGTCAACCAGTTTGGTTGTATTAGTTGGTTGTGTGTTGGTTCTGTTGCATTTGGACCCCTCACAAATTGGGAAACTTCATAGAACAACAGCTCCAGCTCTCACGAGTCAACATCTTCATTCATTTCAAAGCACAAGGAACCATCCAAGATGTCGATATCAAACCAGGCTTTGCAGAAGGCAGGTACCTCCAAATAAGCCCGAATGGAAACCAGTTTACTGACGAGTACCTGCAGGTCCTACAAGAGATCGAGACCCAGGCCATCCTGTCCCAGCAGCAGCTGACGGTGGTCAAGTCCCAAATCACATCAAAGCAGCGAGACACTCGCATGATACAGCTTACAGAGTCAGAACTGAGCTCACTGCCAGCTTCTACCAAAGTCTACGAAGGCGTCGGGAAAATGTTAGCCACCTGGAGGATCACCTGATACATCTATCTTGAGCTAACATGGGTCATAGGTTCATCCAAGAGGATACATCTAAAGTCAAGAAGCGTCTAGAGACGGAAAGAAACACCTTGGAAGAGGATATCAAAGGTCTAAAGAAGAGGCAAACCTATCTGGAGACAACTTACTCCAATGCATCGGACCATATGAACAAGATTTTGAACAGAAGCGGTTAGAACAGTCTCGTAGGTACTGAGCCTTCCGAATCACGAGACATCTTCATCTTGATATTGCGCGAATGCAATGCCATTTACTTTTCATCTTGATACCCGAATATATGACTACTGTTGTAGACCATTTATAATCGACGGCCCTTGTTTTTTTTTATCGTTTTCAACTGTTTATCCTGGATCCTATTTTTTTCCCCGAAAAAGACCCACCTTGTAAGCTTAAGCTCTAACATTTCACGTTTCGCTTTGCCGCGTCTACCCAACCTTCTTCCGACGACAACTCAACCCCACAAATCAACATGTCCGCAACATCACAAGCGAGAGCGATAGGTGACGAGAGAGTAAAATTCCCTCTGCATGATGCCGCTAGGGAAGGTAAAAGTAAGTTATCTTCAAAGCCGATTACCCGTAGAACGGACCCATAGCTAAGTTCTGGACCGTTAGCTCAACTTGTCGAATCCCTGCTCGCATCGCATCTCAAAGATGCGCTAAAAAAGGATGAGGATGAGCGTTTGCCTATACACTGGGCGGCTTCGGGCTCCCATGATGAGATAGTGGACCAACTACTACTCGTAAAGGGTTTAGATGTTGATGAGACGGATTCTTCGGGCTGGACCGTACTCCACATTGCTGCTAGTACCGGAAACGATACTCTTGTCGGAAAGCTCATCAAGAGAGATGCCGACGTGAATCAGAAAAGTAAAGTCATCACATCTACGAAATGAGCTCCGACTACTCTGTACTAACATGTCTTACCGTGTGTAGCGAATACCGGGCAGGTTGGTCCGACGCTTGATTCCTCGATACATTCATGCATGATCTAACATCAAGTTCCTAGACGGCGCTCCACTTCGCCACGTCCAAGAATCACCTAGAAACAGTGAAGCTCCTTCTTGCAAATGGAGCTTCAGCCCGTATCCGCGACAATCGTTCCCAGCTACCCCTCCACCGGGCCGCAGCTATTGGCTCCGTGCCCATCGCGAAACTCCTAATCCAGCATGGTTCCCCCTTAAATACTTCGGACACATCGAACCAAACGCCACTGCACCACGCCATGGCTGAAGGCCATGGGGACGTTGTGGTGGAGCTTCTAAGAGCTGGAGCAGAACAGGATAGGAAAGACGATGATGGCAAGCTCTGGTATGAAGTTCTTGGAGCATCGGAACGTGATAAGCAGGTTAGTAGCACCTTTCCTTTCCTTTTCCTTTTCCTTTTTTTTTTTTTTTCATTATTCGTCTCGGATTTCCCGGCGACAGGTTTTTCCATTTCCCAAGCCTCTTTCCGAAGACCGACCTCCCTTCCCCTCCCCCTCGACAATTAACCCCGTTTTATCCCGTGACATCGGAAGAATGGGAGCCTTGCCCCCCGGGATTCCCATTCCTGTCAAATTTCCACATTTTTGTGCTTAATGTGGCCTACGGCCATATCCCAGTGGTGGTCATTATGAGGCGTGTTTTAATACTCCGTAAACTTCTTGTGATGGGAACCGATCGTCAAGAAATTACGACGAGCAAGGGGGGTTCATAAATCGAAGACGAGACAAGACCAAAAGAAAAGAAAAAAAAAGGAAAAAGTTCGCAATTTAGGCCGAGGCCTATAACGTTTACTACGGTTGCAACGGGGGCGGCGAGACCGTTGAGGTTGGGGATTTTATGTTATTTTCTCGCATTCCACGATGTATCGATTACACAATTCTTGAGCAATCTGAAGCTAATGGGGAATGTCGCGTGGGTTTTAGGTGGTAGAATATGTCAGAAAAGCCTGCGAGGCAGAAGGAATCGAACTAAAAATTGAAGGCGAGGGACAAAATTAGGTGTATTTCCGGGTCCTAAGAAATGACGTCGGTTACAACTCTACCGTTTTGATTTGTATGCGAGAAGAAAGAAAAAAAAAGAATAGGATGGTTTTCCCTGACATTGCCGTTTCGGAGGGCTTGTTTCCGCTAGATGTAACGGGCCTCCCATTTTCATCTCATAAATTGCCATTTTCTGAATAGTGTTTTGGGGTTTGATTTATGCAGGGACGGTAATGCACCAGGTCGGTTCGGAGTCTCGACCGCAGGAGACAACTCGACAGTCCCGGCGACCGTTCCGGAGCTGAGGTTGTCGACCTTGCCGTTTAGATATCAATATAATCCTGATTGGAAATGCAACGCCCACAAAACGCGCAGACACGGGACCTAGTACACGGTAAAGAAAGGATCCCAAGTGCGCTCAGGCCCCTTTCGACAAGCCGAAAAGGATGCCTTATACATCATGCATCAATGCTACTGCAGGAAGCTCAACCGCGAAAGACGGAATCTAGCATAAGCGCCCGTCCGAGTTTCCCGAAGATAAGATTGAAGCAGGCGAGACAGCACTAATGACTGGCAACTATACCTTAATTTTGATACTTACCGAAAATCCGAAAAAAAAAACTTGCCCCAAAACACGGAATAACGATGCGAGCTCTATCATTAGCTAGAGTAGGTTTAGTCAGAGATTTGCAACAGGTTCAGGCGAATTTTTTTTTCCCTTTTCTCTTTCTATTTGGATCTCCGCTTACTTCGATGAAATCTCATTAGTCCCGGGGGCACGGTTGGGGAGCCGGCAACTAGTCTACTCTCGCACGGATGTCCACTGCGGCAAATCACGAAATGAAATCCAACAAGTTGAATTTAAATTCGAGACACTCGGTATCCTTTTTTTTCGGTTTCCATTTCAAGTTGAAAAATAAAATAAATGTCACCAAAAAAAGAGACATCTACAGCCATTTCATACTAGTGGCAAATAGTTCTAGGTTTAAAGGTGGATTGACTATGGGGCTTCTTTTCCTGGGGGGGATGTAGATGGTAAATTTGTAATGTGATAGTGATACAAACCCACGATTGTGGTGATCCATCCCCGTGTCGAGGAGAATTGCCATTGGAGGTTGAGATGCCAGACTAGTCTAGACATAGTAATCCGAAATAATAGGGGGTCACGAGATTATCTCGGTCATGGGCGAATCTCGAGGGGGACATCATCGACCCACATTGCATTAACATGGGGAAAGGATCAAAAAGAGCATTTTTATTTTATTTTTTCTTTCTTTCTCATGAAATGTTCCCCAAAAATGAGGGGCTTCGAGGGGCGGACCTGTTCCATTGGACGAGGGGCACTGAGAAGGCAAGAAGAAAATCCCAGAGCTTCGTATACCGTTAATTAACGGTTTTGGCTGATTATAATTATCGCACCTGGTCCGACAAGGGCAAGAAGGGGGCGAAGCTGCCTGTCCATGGTCCTGGGAGAACTGAGAGGTTCCAGCAGGAGGAATAAGCTCATCTCACGATCGAAGTTGGCGATTGGGTAAAGAAGTGGGACTGGTGTGACTTACCACGACGTTACTATAGGGTATAAGGCTTCCTCAAAAATGACTCGTTAAACTGGACCGGTGCAAGTCATCTTATTTCGCATGTGATGAGTATATTATCATATGGAACGGTAATATATTTCCTATTTGAAGGGAAGAAACCGAAGGTGAAGATTACCTGCTAGGAATACGCATGGTAGAATCTCGATCTTGATACGCTATTACAGAGACTTCAAAGACAGTTTCCCAAGATAAAACAGGGTTCATTCTATTATGTTTTTTTTAAACTATATCCACAGTAGCTATAGATAATTTTTTGTAAGAGAGGATTAAAATCTTCAGATGGGCTAGTAGGGCTCCAAGGCCTATACAGGAGAGCAGTGTAGTCACTGTCTCAGCAACATCCGGGTAAAGAGAAAACGAGTAAGGAAAAACTAAACTACAAAGCATATTTTGTTGTAATAAAAATCAAGAGCGGGGAAACAAGTGACAGTTGCCTGTCGGAAGCTGTAAAACACCAATCACCCCAAACCAGTAGCGAAAGATAATCAAAAATGCAAAGAAGAAAGCAACCACAGTTTGCGCCAGTTATCACTTGTAAAAACCAAATATAACAAAGGAAATAACGGAAGTCGGGATTTTTTTGAAACTCAGAGCAAAATGAAACGCTAAAAATGCTCGATAAGAAATGAGAAACAAAATGAAGGAGTAGTGTACGATACTTGAGTCTAGTGTTGTCGGCCGTCATGCATCCCATAGGCCAGCTGGGATTGATGAGACATATCATAGTTGACGTTGTCGGATTGGCCGTGAGAAGCCCAGTAAGGTTGTGGGTGACCGTTGATCCAGTGTTCAACATTTGGCTGGAAGTTGGAATGGCCGTCGAAGGCGGCAGTAGGAACAATAGGAGAGCTTTGCTCGAGCATCTTTGTAAAATTAGTATATTGTTGATCCGAGGACTCTTTTTTGAAAGACCCATTAACTGCTGCCAACCCCGCCGTCTCAGGGGTAGGGGGTGGCGAGGCAAGGTTTTGCTTAATGGGTGCATCCTCATTGGTAAAGCCGCCATCGCTCTCGAGGTCTGGAACATCTGGAGTGTGTTCTTTGGAGAGGTCCGAGGGCTTCCTATTGAGTTTGTGCTGAACTGTAGCATTACCAAAATCGGCATCCGAAGGTGGCGTTGGAAGTGGAGTTCCGTGTGCAGAATGAGGTCCATTGATTTTGCCATGGAAGATGCGCTGGGTCCGAGCGTTCGGTCCAAGGGAAGGTGGCATAGGTCGAAGGCGTCGAAGGGCAATTTCTTGCTGTAGAGATGGTCGCTCAGTGTATGACTGAGACCTTTCCATACCTTGAGCAGCTAGTTGCTTGTGGCCGTTCTCGAGAACTGGCGAAGAGGCTTCTGATGATGTATGCATTGGTCTGTGTGTTTGTTGCATCGAAATGTTTTCAACATTTGAAAGATCTGGGCAAGTAGCCACTCGAGAAAGTGCCGGTCGGTCGGTATTCTTGAGGACTAATCCACTAGGAACAGGTCGTGACTTGAGGCTCATGTTTATAGTCTTGGGCAGGGAGTTCATCTGCACGGCAGCTGCAAAGGCGGAGTAGTCGTCCTGAAAAACAGGTGGGACACCAGAAAGGGGTGCATTATGATATGGAGAGTTCATTGCCGACATGTTGTCGAATTCAAAAGGGTCTTCACGCTGTCCAGCCGGAGTTGGTGTATAGGAGACAGAGGAGTTGTAGGAGGAAGAGCCCCAGTCGGAGAAGTTAGACACTGGGTAGAAATTTGGGTCGTATGGATCAAGTGAATAGTTTTGTGGTGGGGGGCCATCATAGGAGGCGGCGCCAGCGTGATAAGCTTGAGGAACACCCTCTCCCTCATATGAAGAAGCATATGCACTGGCGATAGCAATAGATCTTGCGAGGGAGGCGGCGGCAGCTTCTTTAGAAGATGAGTAGAGTGGAGAGGTGCTTGTAGAGCTTGCAGGGTTAAATTCTGTTGTTAGTAGTGGGAGAGAAGACTGTGTAGATGTAGTAGAAGTTGGTGTTTCCAAATCAGATATAGAAGACTCCGATAATGCCATAGGGACACCACCGAGAGCGATCTTTGCCATGCGTTCCCGACCTGCGGTTTCTAAAATCTGTGCCATCTTGGCCTCTTGGATCTCCTTATGCTTCTTAGCCCTGTGCCTTCGGTTTTGGAACCAAATCTAAGAAGGGTGTTAGAAAAACACAATCAAATTAGATAACAGATGGATATACTCACATTAACTCGAGTGGGGGAAAGGTTAATAGCGTGAGCTAGATCCCTTTTAGTAGCTTGGTTTGGTTTGGGGCACTGTTGGTATAATCTTTCGAGAGCAAGAGTCTGTTCTCGGCTGCATTTAAAACGACGAGGCTCTTTAACGCTCTCCTCGCTGGGCCCAGAAACTGGAGGTGTGAATCGAGGAATAACTGGGAAATTGTTGCCAATGAATGTCTCGATGTGTGGGCCAGAGGTTGCAGCCGGATGTCTTGGGACATTTAAATGTTGGGGAGAAGGTCCTTGGGTTACGTGGACATCGGATCTGACGGGAACATTGGGGTTTTGGGAAGGCATCAAGCCTTTGTTATCATAAGGGAGGGCCTCCATGTCTTAGACTTGGAAGCACACAGTCGGTTCCTGGGATTGAAGATCACTTGTATAGTTTCTTCTTCAACAAGTAACTATGATGTCGTTTTGAATGCAAGGTACCCTTCTTAGCCAATGGAGCTTCTTGGAGGAAATTAGACCCCAAGCTGTCCTATATAAAGCGGCTTGGATTGGATAGTCTTGTGTCTTAGAGGGACGCTAAGGATAAACCTTTGACGGTATTCCTAATGCATCGAAACGTTGAACCGTGTTAGCGAGTCGAGTCGTCATTCCTTTCGCCCCCCCTTCCTCATTGCTTGGATGTAACAGGAATGAAATGTATGCGCAGGAGTAAGCAAAATGTCATCCACCCGCGATCGCGCAGGTATTTGACCAACAGCGTAACGTTGGGGCGCCAGATCTACAATTCTGAAACGAGTTTCATTCGCCACCTGTCGATGTGCGTTGTAGATGGGATCTATGGAAGCCAAGGGGAAGAACTAGAACTTTGAACTACCGGTCGGTAGAATCGAATCGAGTTCATGGGTTGCGCCATGGGCTTTTATTCTTCATGATGTAATACTCCATGCGATTCTCAGGCTAGTATCGCATGGGCATGGGGCGATTTTTAGGCCATGTTGGCTGACCATGCCGGCAACTGTTGCTTCGTTTCGTTGTACAAACGTTGCAAACCTCGAAGACATCGGCATCGGCACCAACAAGGAACAGCATGCACGTTTCTCGCCCGATCAAGGAACAGGGTTGTACAGCTTCCGCGCAGAGACATAACAGCGAATTCGCGAAATGCACCCGCTCTGCTGTGATGTAATCTTCGTTTCGGATAAAAGCAGAAACGGATTGGAACAACTGTCAGATATGGATAAAACGAAAAAAGCCTTTCGTACCTTATGCAGACTATGATTTCTATGACAAATTAACCACCCACACGTGATATTACTATCTCTTTGAATTGATATCTAGACGCCCGTGTGGTCAAAGCTTCCGCTTGCCTGTGGGTCGGACTGTGCAGGACCGAATGCAGGTACCAGTGGAGTCGTTTCACAAATAGGCAAACTCTTTGACAACTATTTGACAACCTTGGGTGCGCCGATGTTCGGTAACTTTTCAAATGGTAAGAATGTTGCAATCTAATCAGATAAACACTTTGCGTATTGATATTGACGTCCGTTTCTTTCGAGTACTGTTGATTGCGAGATTGTTAGGCCGTTAGCAGTAAAGGGAATGACTGTCGTGAGGCGAGAACTGAAAAAGATGAACAACAGATATCGATGCTTGGATTTTTGAAGGAAAGGAGAGACTAGATCGATGTTAACGTTGTGACAAAAAATGAGAGGAGTTCGTGAGCCTGAGGGATGAAGAAAACTGGGATTTCCGGGGAGGGTCGAGAGATTAATATATTCCTTCTACTGGGCCCTACTCCTAAAAAAAGTCCGAGTCACAACCACCATCATCTCGAGAGACAGGCAAGCTTCTCTGATAGGCGTGGTTCTGGCCTAGTTGCGCGGCTTCGGGAAACCTAGCAAGCACACTGTTTTGCCCTCCTCTCTTTCGAATTTCTGTACCTTGCAGAGACCGAATTTGGAGAATCTTGGCTTCGTATGTGTGAAGCTTCTCCTTTGTTTTTTTTCTTCCTTCTCTAAGCCTACCAGTGAACCAACTGCAACAAGGGCTTCCCACCCAAGATCTGCGTTAACATTGGCCAGTATAGACCCACAGGATGCCTCAGTTTGGTGTTGGGTTACAGGGTCGAATTTCGTGACTTCTGAGGAATGGTTAGATGACACTCATCCTCGAGAAATTAGCAAATTTTTGGTTTTAACGTAGGGGTCTTCGTTGAAGCCTGTTCTTCAGATTTTCGATTTATCTTCGTCTGCAAGTATCATGTGCATGGTAGGTGCCTACAGCCTCCTGTGAATATAATCTTTCAGAATTAACCTGCCTCCTGTGCTTTTCGTCATAAGCTTGAGGATCATGGTGAAATTTAGCGATGGGGAATGTGCTCTCCTCGATCTAGCTTTCCCAAAGATGCTCTTGATGCAGTGGTGGGGGAATCGATTCTGGAATTCCAGGAAACTAAAGTGTGCCTCGCTTGACCAGGGTCCATGATCTCAATTTGAACCCGTTCGGTTCTGCAACAGCATAGTTTCCCGACCCCTGTTCGCCGGGCTTCAAAGGTGAAGAGTTGGAACCAGCCCGAAAAGCCCCACCCATTGCTACCTCAATGGCTGGATTACCCCTGGCTCCGGGACACGGAACAACAGCGCGATGCCCACTTTTGGGGGGGACTGGTCTTCCAGTTCTATTTGCGGTTGGATCAGCATATGGCGAAAGAAAATTAATGGACGCCTTCGGCCTTCATAACCAGTCCACAGCTTGCAAAATGATTCTAGGCACAATCGTAATAGAAACTGGCGATCAAATATTTTCGCTTTCTTCTTATCGAGTCCTCCGCATATTTCCTAGATCTCGGTCTTTTGGGGGAATTCAGAATTCTGGTGATATAGTAACTAGGCGGACATTCCTCCAATAGAAGAATGTTAGGTGCAATTTAATCGCGGACACCTTTCGAAGGGGTTTGCTTTGACAGCTCGATACCAACGATAACTCTAACTTGTATCATATCAGATCCTGTATCTCTTTTTTACCTGGAGGTATTTGGTGTGGTTCGGTCGGCGAGAACTTGGCCTACGACGGTGGCAGGTCCAACTCAGGGAGCACGGCATTGCTTCATGGCCATACGTTTGACGCTGTTGGGTGACTGAACCAGACTTTGATTCGTCTATCAGAGACATGTATCCCACATCATCGTATCGGCAAACACGGCTCGAGGGAACTTGATGTGGGGTTGGTTGTTTGGTCTCATCCTCAATATAATGTATGCGATGCTTCCTGTGTGCAACCATCTTCGTCCATCTCTTCATGCTCATTGCTTCGAAAAGAAAAATTGTTACACCGGCGCAGCAGATGGCTTTAACCTTATATGGTTGTCAGGGTCCAAATGCAAATGTGTTTGGTCGGATTCACCATGCATACAGGGAAATCCCGTAAAGCCAAGATTCCAAAGATGGCTTAGTCCTGCAGCATAACTAATTCATTCAATTCAGCTCCATTATGTCGTGTCATATCATATTTTGTCAGCCAGAGTTCCGCCTTTTAGTTCAAAGCCCTCGACATTCGAAGCGATCAACCAGATCGGGACAGGTTGCTTTAATCGATTTCAGAATTCCACAGGTAATCTTGACGAGCTGTAACATATTTTTCACCCCACGGTGGATCAAGACCTGCATACGTGCGTACGCCTCATTATGGCCCAAGCGAATGGGCGATTCGCGGACTCCGGCACTAGAACCGAGGGGGCAGCATACCAGAATGAACTGGAGCGGTTGACCCGGTCGATATGGAACCTTGAGGAGCCCATCGAGAGTAGTGGTAGATGCATTAGAGAACTAAAATCAAGGTACTGGTCAGGTCACTACGGCGCAATAGCTTTAGCTAATGCACATGCCGATTACATCTAAATTGTTTGCGAGATCAAATATGCAAGCGCAGGTGGCTGATCTTGAAACTGCTCTAGACGACACGTGCTGTCTGATGAAGAGCAGGAGAATCTGAAATCAGAAGAGACGCTGCTTCAGAAATTGCAGACCGATTTGCAGAAGTTGAAGGAGCAAAGGGATGACCTGAAATCGACCCCGGCCGGATTAAGAGCGCAGGAGATAACGAAGCTGCAGCAGGAAATTGAAAGATCAATTAAGCCGTTCTCGCCTGAAGAATTAGCTGAACGAGCTAAGTCATTTCGCCAGAAGGCAGAAGAAGAGCGTAAGAAACGGGATATCAGCAATCTTGTCTGGGGTGGTGTCGCCATAATGATGCTGGTCCCTGCGGTTGCAGCCGTGCTGTGGAGCACATCTATATCTTAGTCTGAATTCTGGATAGTCAGTCAACAGTCCCTAGATAGCCAAGTATATAGATAGTTAGTCTTATATAGGCATGTATGTACATACTTCCTCATTTCGGGGCCGGCAGATATCGATGTCGGTGTGCATTGGTATCAGATCATGAAGGTTTAGTGAAGTGCAATATAAGCGATGCGATGCAATAATATATGTCTCCACCAGGGCGCGTGGAGTTGTTTGTGTCGACAAACCGGGGATGCGTTGCAAGAGGTCTGCAGCCAGTCATTAGCGAGATGTTGCCGGGCTTGGCGTGCGCTTTGGCCCGACAAGAACCTCAGAATTTTTTTTTTTCGTCGAGTTACTGCGACTGACCAGACACCACCATCGACAAGCAGAAGAAACCACAGCTTCTGCCCAATCAATTAACCATCCGAACCCCATCGCTACTGCTCAACAATGGTTCGCCCAAGTAAGTTTTCTTTGTCTCACACTCCGGATTTAGGATCATGAATAATCTCAGGCTAATTGGGTTGTACCTACAGAGAAACAAAGTAAGAGGGTGTCAGTCCGGCTGAGGCACAAGATCGAGAAGAAAGTCGCAGCTAAGGCCAGAAAAGATCGCAAGGCGTCGAAGAAGGACCCCACATGGAAAAGTCGACTAAAGAAAGACCCCGGGATACCAAACATGTTCCCGTACAAGGAGCAGATGCTAGAGGAGATAGAGGAGGGGAGACGACAGAAAGAGGAAGAGAAGCTAAAACGAAAAGAGGCTAAGTCGAAGGCTGCTAAACCGACAGCAGCTGAGGAAAACGGGTCTGATGTAGATGATATGGTGGATGTCGAGGAGGAAGAAGAAGATGAAAGCGAACTCTCGGAAATGGATGAGGGTGAAGATGCTGGCCAGGTATTGTCGCACTGTCTCTATCTATCATATTGCACACTAACAATCTTCTATAGAGTAATGGGAATGCCATGGCTGCCCTGTTAGCATCGGCGAGGGCTAGGGCTAGGCAATTTGAGGGTGCCGACGGCGACGGCGACTCCGACGACGCTATGGACGATGATGACGATAACGAGGGTCCTTCACGTTCTATCCCAGCCGCCATTACCTCGAACCGACCGGATTCTTCTCTCAAATCCTTCTCGAAACACTTCCAAACCGTCCTATCTTCAGCAGACGTTTTGTTATATGTTCTAGACGCCAGGGACCCCATTGGAACAAGATCGTTAGCGATTGAGCAGCAAATCCGTGCAGATTCCCTAGGCTCCAAGCGACTCATACTTCTTTTGAATAAAATTGACTTGGTTCCGACACAAGTGCTCAAGGACTGGTTGGTACATCTCAGAAGATATTTCCCTACTCTTCCAATCAAAGCGAGCAAACCCGCCACAGGTGCCCACACATTCGACCACAAAGACCTTACAACGGCTTCGACAGCAAGGACTGTCGTTAACGCCCTCAAGTCCTATGCTAAACTGAAGCAATTGAAACGAGCTATCAGCGTCGGTGTGGTAGGGTATCCAAACGTTGGAAAATCATCTGTCATCAACGCAATCCTATCGAGAGGTAGTTCTACTCAAACGGCTTGTCCTGTTGGTGCAGAAGCCGGTGTCACTACGTCTGTTCGCGAAGTCAAATTGGACTCGAAACTCAAACTCTTAGACTCGCCGGGTATTGTTTTCCCCGGAAAGGAAATTGACGCCGCCGCTCTGACACTACTAAATGCCCTGCCACCGAAACAAATGCCAGAAACCACAATTCCTGCTGTTACTCTACTTCTCTCGAGGTTGGCTGACAAACCGGGCCAACTTGAACACTTGACCCAACTTTACCAACTTCCACCTTTGATCACCGGGCTTTCGCAAAAAGACCTCACGATGGACTTTTTAATCCATGTAGCTAGGAAGAAGGGTAGATTAGGCAAAGGTGGTGTTCCAAACATCGAAAGTGCCGCTAGGGCAGTGGTCACAGACTGGAGAGATGGAAGAATCATCGGCTGGATCGAGGCACCAAAGTTAGAAGTCGAAACAAGCGGTAGTTCTGACGCTGTCACTTCCGATGGCAAGCTGAAGGACTCAAAGGAGATTGTAACTCAATGGGCGGAGGAATTCAAGATCGAAGGACTATGGGGCAACGATGCGGATGTTATGGAATAGAGCTCCACTTAGCATCCCATGTACTACATACACCTAAGATTTCGATGTTATACCCGGCGTTGAGGGGGGGATGTTCAAAAGTACCCATTATGAATGATTTCGACGACGCTTTTGCAATTCAGCAGCAATCTATCTTGTATATTAGAATAGAATACGATCCGGTCAACTTAAATGCTTTTGATATAGCGTCGTATGTGTTGTTCATCCAATAATGCAACATGCGGTCTTAATTAGGCCTTTCACTCGCGAGCTTGAAGCTATCCAGTCGAATCACCCGTCCGCTCGCGCTCGCGCCGTCCTGTATCTAGATCTACCCTGCATCATCACCACCCCTGCGGCGTAAAATAGAGATATGCAAAAAATCCCAGAATACCATCATCATAGCAGCTAAGCCCCTAGTCTAAATGTCACTAAAACGCCCTCATTCCCCTACCTCCCTCGCCTCATCCGCCCTCTACGTCTCCAAAAAAATTGAAGACCGCGACTCGACCTTCACCGCCTACTTTTCTCCAACAGCTCCTCAACGTCAACTCCAATCACATCCAGATCTAACCACCGCCTCCCATCGCATTCTAGCATGGCGTAAACCTTCTTCTCAAAAGACACTCACGGGTTTGCCGGCTTACAATACCGGATCAGACGACGACGGAGAAAATTATGCTGGTAAGAAGCTGTTAAAGGTTTTGGATGATTACAAAGTCGAGGGGAGTATTGTGGTTGCTAGGTGGTATGGTGGACAATTATTGGGACCTGTGAGGTTTCAGCATATTGAAAATGCAGCGAAGGAAGCTATTAGAGCTTATCTTGCTGATAAGGACGAGAGTGCGAATGGAGAATCTGCAAAGAAGACAAAGGTTTCGAATGATGAGCAGGGGCAGGAAGGCGAGAAGGAAAAAGAGGATTTGGTCGAAGAGTTGAAGAATCGTGACGAGAGTATTGCTGTCCTACGGAATTTATTGGACGATAAGATGGGGAAAAAGAAGAAGAGCGAGGAAACGCCAGACGTTGGTGAAGAAAGCAGTCAACAAAGGCCTACGAAAGAAGTGGATTACAAGAGCATGCCGTTGGTGAGGCTGAAGCAACTAGATAAAGCACGAGATAATACGATCTCATTTTTATTAAAGAAGATAGACGAGGTCGAGGAGGCACAGGAAAAGGTATTGGTTCGCTCAGAGGATGAAGGTGATAATAAAGACGCTCCCAAAACTTGAAAAGTTAAAGGACCCGTTTCGGAGGTCGATATTATCAAGTAGTCTTGCGTATGTTCTTATGAAATAAGAACTCTTTGTGCGAAGAGTGGACATAAAATAAAGGAAGAAAAGAAGAATAAAGTCAAGGGTAGATAGGATCTTTCATGTGGAACGGAAATCCCCTGTTAAAGAAAGCTCCGGAACCATCTGTGAAAAATCATTATCAACTATTGAAATTCTCGGCCAAAATAAACCAGAAAATGTATGAGGGCCATAAAAGGGAGGATAAAGGTAAAAGTAAAAAAAGTTAAGGGGGAGTGATGGGGCTGGGATAGAAAGGCAAATCTCAAAACTGATCAGTAGTGAAAATGTTGTTCCCACGGCTTGTTTTGCTTTGTGCAGACGCAGCAAAGATCGATTTTGAACCCTTTAGGGTGCTTCCTTCGGCACATCCCACCTTCCAACGACAGGCCCTCAAAATGGTTAGATGGACGTTGTTTCGCCTTCATCAGAGCTCGCAGTTTGAGGAGGTTATGAGGTTCGTTGATAAGCAGTTGAGTTGGACGAGGAAGACGCATCAAAGCAGCATGAGAAAGGACCATGGCCTCCTCATTGTGCCTAGGCTCAATGTAGTACCAATGGAACGTCTTGTTCGCTGCCTTAATCGTATGCAGCACTTCGGTCCAAAGGTCTTTCAATCGTTGTTCCATTCGGAGTTTCTTCACCCAAAGAGAGTTGTTACCATGTGCTGACCACTGGTTTGCCCAGCTGACGATGTGGCGGGAGGAGCAATAGAAGACAACGTCAGTATAGTCGAAGGAACTGTAAGAGTAAGTACTGACGTCTCTAATAGCATACAGAGCCTGCAATGCTCCGCGTATTTCAAGGCCACAGTCGGCTTGCGGTTTGCTGAATTCCATCGTGCCGTACTTGTTGAAAACACAGTCTTCCCCAAACCAGGCACTGTAACCAAAATCGTAGACGGCACCTCTTTTTTGAGATTTCGGATTGGCAACATCGGCGTAAACTTCCATGGCGATGTTACCAGTTTCCGGCAAGATTCGGGTGCTGATTGAAACATTCCCAGTTCTGTATCTCATAGCCCTGATTCCCCAGCAGTATTCAAGAGGAGTAGTTAAACCATTGAAAATAGTTGCCAGAAGGAGCATGTCCGGGATTGGGCAGACACTGGTAGTACGGTACAATGGGAGTGAATCGACTATGAGGCAGGTAATTCGGAGCGGGATGCCACCAATGACAATTGGAAGCTCGGTGAGGCCCCAAACGCGAAGTTTGGTAAAGCCAGTTCTGCTTCTCTTGAAGGTAACATCTACGCCATCGAAAGGACTGCTATCTTTCATGTTATTCTGAATTGGAATAAAAGATGCAGGCTTATACTTGTCGATTTCCGGGAAGTAAATGGACTGTCCGTTCAACCATGGCATAATTTGGCCATGAACCCTTTGGCGGAAAAAGTTCCACGTAATCAATGAGACAGGACTGAGATGAATCATCTGGAACAGGATTTTGGATTCGTCAGGGAAGAGAGCAGTGTATCTAAATGCCAGAGAAGAGTACCTCAGTAACAATTAGTGTAGCTATCGCTAACCTAGGGTAGCTTGCATATCAAAGTCGAGCTGAGCCACTTACGTGTTTTCACCTATGATTTCTGCATTGAGTGGGTCGCACTCCCTGGTATTGATAGTGAACCCGCTCTTTCTGTCAACCATTTCTTTGGCAAAATCCGCAGGATGCGGTTGGAGGGACCGAGGTTTGAAATCCATCTTGTATTAATTGATATGGAGGGATGAATGGTGGAGGTCAATAATTGGATTTGATTTGTTAGTTGGATGTTGAGGAGGGGTGATGAAGAGTGATGTAACAGAAACAAACTGGTAGGATGTGAAGTCCGGTCGTTCTGTTTATATCTCGGTGCTGTTATATGTTACCTGATGGTGCTATCACGCTCTTCAGGGTTTCCCACTATACAATTCTATGCAAGCCGTGCAACGTCGACAACACACTTTTAGTCACAAACTACAACAAGGTGTCCTCTGACCCCATATGGATCTTGATCTGGCCTCAAGACTGAAGATTAGATCCTGATAATGATCATGACACTACTAATATAAGAAAAGACATCACTGTGGCGATGATGAATATATCCAGAAAAATAGTCATATTCCATGGTAGCTGAAAGGATAGTGACTTCAATATAATAGGCCGTGAAACCCCCAATGAAAAAAATGAAAAAAAAAGGAAAGGAAAAGAAAAGAAGGAAAAGAAACCCCAATGAACGCCGGCCCCCAGATAATACAAAGGAAAGAAAGAAAGAAAGGAAACGCCAATATTTACATACGAAATATATACTGCACCCGCATATGTTATAAGATAGGCTAACGTTACAACCAGTCACAATCGTTTGCCCTACTTCTGGACCTTTTCATCTACAACTCTGATCCCATTGATCATGTCTTGATCTTCAATGTTTTCCTTCTCTCCTTCTCCTTCTCCTTCCTCTCCTCCTTCATTTTCCTCCTCTTCCTCTCGCCCCCCCTTATCTTCTCTCACGATCGCAGCCACAATGGCTAAATCAAGCTCGACGCTCGCCAAGAACGGTATCGGGGTTCCCCTTCTGCCTTCAACCGGTTGAGTGTGTCCCCTCTCATCATGAGTATAAGACTGAGCACATTCGCTACATGGATCCTCCAAGTCCGGTAGAACGCCTACACTCTGTCCTCTCGACCGACTCAACTTACTCCGTCTCCTAACCTCTTCATCAAGTTCTCTAATTTCTTTTTCAATATCAGCTTCAGACATACGTCCACTTCTTCTTGAGCAGAACTTTCTCCGTGCGAAGCTAATTTGTTTTGGAGGTTCAAAGTAGGTATCATGGGCATGTGGTGGAGATGGTGTCTCAGTTCGGTGTTTGAGCATCTCCAACCAACTTGATGCTGTTGGTGGACGGGTAGTTGATCCGCGGAGGGTAAGGTCCGTGTTAATTGACGAAATCGATGGGCTTTGAAGTTCGTCAATTTGTTTTTTGGACTGGCGTCTTCGTCTCAGGTACAAAAATAATCCGAGAGGTAGACAAAGTCCTAGAATGGCGACAGAGACGAAGAATGCGATCTCTGCGGGCATCCCCCAGCCGAAGATACCATTCGGCCCATGGGATACGTTTGTTGGTGTGGAAGTGGGTGTATCAGACGCCATTGTTTGTGTCAGATACTCCGACTTTGCGGGGATAGGTTCTTTGATTGAACCTGAACTTAAAAGAGGTGTCGGTGAGGGTAGTATTGTGCTATGTGATGTACGTATATGAATAGATGATGAAGATAATGTTGGTTTTATCGGCGCATCCGAACCAAAGAAGTCAGGATCTATGGCTGCGCCTTGCGGGGTTGTCGAAGTGTGATGAAGAACGGGTGCAAAATGAGGCACTGAAGGAATACTCTCAGGCATGCCGGACAAAGGAGGCTCCAAGAGGGAAGATATAAATATTAAATAAGTCCTTGTCACGGGAAGTAAATGATCTAAAACGGAACAGTACCCGTCAGTATAATGTATCACGATTGCGAGCCAATGGCATAATCCCAAACACCAACGCTGAGAGGAAAATATAACACTTACAAGAAACAACAGCATACAACAAAAGTGATATATGTTGTTTTCGAAGCAATCGTGCCAATGAGATGTGTCAACCCAGGCGCCCGTTGGTGAATAAGTTGAAAAGGGCGGGAAGAAGAAGCAGAAGAGTTAATAAGATATGTGAGCTGGCTGTCAACGTAGCCGTTCACACTCGGAAAGCTGCAGCACAACCTCGACCGACGAGGATTATAACCGAACAGCAAACAACAACGAAAAGGTCTCCAAGAGCTTGCTAATCGGTAAAGTATACAACCGCTGAGGAGGAAGATAGCGACCAACGTGCCCGATTCAGAAGGTTTCTAGTTGGAAAAGTGCACACAAGTGGAATCCGAAAATTTCGGTTCCTACTCTATGGCTACTTCAGTGTTTTTAACGTGTTTGACAGCTGTTTTTCTCACGGTTATCGGCTTCGAGCGAAACGGTGAGATGGTAGAATTCTTTAGATAAAGTGCCGACAGAACTGCATTCTTTCCTATCAGCTATGCATATATCTCACTGAATTCCTCTGGAGGCTGGCAATATCAATAGTGGCTGGCAGTATAAAAACCCAAAACAACCAAAAAAATCAATAAAGGAGATAAAAGAAATATATAAAAAAAACGAATTCAAGGAGGGTAATTGAGCGAGAAAAATAAAATAAAAAAATACCAAAGAATAACAAAAAGCTTAAAGGGTTTCCGAAGCAAAGTTTCCAGCGAAAAAATTACCACAAGAAAGACATCAAGACTAAAAGAAAGGACGGAAACACAAACACCAGCAACGAAGCGAGTGTTGGTTTCCTTGTGGCTAGCAAAAGGCGGACAATTCGCTGGCAAGTTGAACGGTGATCGGTGAAGGGCACGAGAGAGAGTTCCAAGAGAGTCAAGCTCTGGGTTTTTGTATCTTCATCCCGTCTCAAGTTCTCCCACGACCTTGTACGACTTCGACGACCATGATCCTTTCCCGCGTTGAGTAAGTAAGGAGGAAAACCGTGGCTGGCACGCCTGCTGAGCTAGTTTTTGAAGACATAAAATGGACGAATCGAGGGGTACAGAATCTCAAGCTGCCAATTGAGAGATTTTGGCGATAAAATCTTTCTCATTGGGTCCCCTTGCGTTCCCGCAAACAAACTAGACACTGCCACCTCGTTAAAACCCCGATGGAATGTAGGCAGATATCATCGAGTGAGGTATCTGACGGGACGTCGAAGACCCTTTCATTCCCCAGTACTGCTGACTCCAAAACTCCTTGCTGTTGTTGCCCCCCCCTGTGGACGTTCCTGCGTACGAATTAGACGAAAGCTCGTCCTTTCTCGGGATAACATTGGACAACGCAGTGTGCTCCTGTCTTATATATGCCCAAAAGTGGAGCTCCAGAGACTACCGTTGACATTGCAAACACCCCCTAGCTTTGAATCTCGTCTGTTCGAGATCCAAGTATGTAATGAGATCGAGTAATTAATGACGGACGGATGACATAATGCCGCGATGTCTCGGGTGGATAAGTACAATCCAATTTCCGCGGTTGACGGTTCATAAAATTTTGAAGAGCTGCCTAGCTATTGTTGGCGTTGTTGTGTTGTTGTCGCCATCTCTGATGTTACACAACGCTAAAAGGCCGCCTTCCCGGCAGCAGCCCGCACTACTCACTGACTCACTTAGTATACCTTACCTTCGATCTATCTAGTCTCGTTCCCATCGAATCGCCATCTATTCCAATCTAAAGCTTCTATATTCGATTCCATATTCAATACTTCACTAAATTTCTAACCTAACTACGGAAATGCTGCTAAAGGGATGCTTCTAATATTATAATTAATTTTCCACTTTCCTCTCTCTCAGTTATATTGATAAATCACAGGGTTTGGTTTCTTAGGTACGTCAAGCTTCTGGTAACCCACTCCTGTTCGAATCCTATGTCTTCGAAATTTCTTGAGAAGGATAATTTCTCAACGTAGGATCTATTTCCATACAAGGTATATTTTCATAAAGGATGGCCTTCTGTATAAGTAAAAATTCTATATGTGTTAGCAGCCCATATAGGAGCCTTCGCAATATTAATTCGCCCGCTAATAGAGATGTCGACCTAGCCTCCAGCAAAGTCGCTTTTAATAGCCCCTCAGCTCCAATACAGCATAGAACTGTCTCGGGTAGCCTTGGTAAGGTTATTACTTTTACCAATAATCTGCAGTTTCAACTGAAAATGATATAAATTTATGTAAAAATAATCAGAATGGGAAATCCTTTCCCCCCAAATCCAAGACAGAGTACTTGCCACCCGCGAAGATTATCCCCGTCTTTCTTTGCCTAACGGATTCTTCATACCGTTTTTGCTTTTAATCAACGCTTACTACTGGATGTGCATGATCAAGAACCCAATTAGAAATCTACACTATGTGTGCCGTAGGGCTGAAATCGAGGCTGAGAAGCAGCAAACGACACGTCATTCCAAGTTATCTCTATACAAGGGACTAGAGAAACCCCTTCATGACACTAATTCTGCTTCCATTGTGACAGGTTCGAATTTCACACCGAATATGCCAAATATTTATGTATAAGGTCAGAAAAGTGGTCTGTTTGGCTGCTAACTAAGAACATGACGTTGGGATAAGGGGTCAGGTTTAGCATGGGAAAAAAAAGAGTAGGAAAAACAATATTGGAGAGTAGCCATTTCTAAAGCAATGGCAAAACGTAGACGGTGACATTCAGTACATGAGTAGTAAATACGCATACTGCTGTTCGTTCCTCCCGAGCCAAGGGGAAGTTAACAGCCCTTCAATATATCCTCCCAAGTCTGCAAATTCTTCTCATGGCCATAATCTCCATCGCCGTAAGTCGCCTGCACCTCCCGACGCAATTTAATAATATCCTCAACGACCTGTTTCTTCATTTTGGCTAGATCCGCAAAGGTTTGCTCTGGGTATTCTTGGGCTTGATTACCCGTCGCACGGTGGAGCATCTCCGTATTGATTTTGTCAAACGCCACCTCGTAATTCTTGTAGCCTTGGTATAACTCGCTGCGGGACATTGTGTTATTAGGGGTAGATTGCTTGATATGCCAATGTAGAGTGGACAAAATTTTGTTCTCTGTCCTCGATATATTAGCGTTCCTCATGCCAGGGGTAGGTATATTTTCAGCCCTCTCACTTACCCCGCTCGACTAGCTATAGTACTAGTCAGGTACGGTCTCGATATATCGATATCGTAGATGGATAGATAGATAGATAGATAGATAAATAGATATATATGTATATATATATCGGTGCACAACGTCCAAATATTCTATCTTGCTCACAGCAAATTTGTTTGTTCGTCTCTTTGGTAAAGAAAGGAAAAGAGAGAGGGAAGAGGAGAAGGGAGAAAGGAGAAGACGGGGGAGAAGACGCGATTATATACTCAGTAGTATGTATACCTGACAACTGGGAAATATGCACCTGGCCCAAGATAGATATGTTTGTGGTGAATGATATGCTAGATGCATATCACATAAGGACGGTTCATGCATGGACGGCTCATGCATGGACGGCTCATTTTGGTCTCCGATTAAGTTCCTTCGGACTGCGTAAACCCGAAAGTCGAGACTATTAACGTCTGTTTTGCAGCGGTATGGGAGGTTAGGTATATTATTGCTTGTTCATCTACGCTGGGTCAAGGAGGCTTATTTTGTGAAGTTGGGTGTGGTTGTAAGCTCTGCAGTTAGGCCAGTAGCTTAGTAGGCCACTACCCCGGTATCTATTATATCAGTCTTGTATTAAACCCATTTGATATTTATGACCGACCCGGTAAATAAGAAAGTACTTAAGAAGGTAGGCTGGTAGTATCGTCTATCTAGATCTATCAATTTAGCTAGTCACATCTGTGTTGCCAGTGTTGTAAAACGATAGCAGTGCGACTCAGATCCCGACCCAGATCCTGACAAGGCTTCGCGAAGAAAAAGTACCTCCAATGCAACTAAGCAAGTTACTAATTAGCCCACTCTCAGACTGGTGCATATCATCCAAACCTTCAGACCGAAACCTGCCGTCATGACAGTTGGTTATGCTTCCTTGTTTTACTTCAGACCTGGGTTTCATCTACGGCACTCTCCATTCCCGAACTTTGGGTATCCTGGTACCTAGCTGGCCTAGGAAGTTAGGTACGTACATACAAGCTAGAAGTATTTACAAGTACTAAGTACTTTTCACATCTAAACACTCTCCAGTACATCTCTGTACAAGCGTCGACTGATTCTGACGTGCATGTCCCGTCGAATAACCTCTCTGGATCTGACAAGACTGGTATATACGTATCCGGATCCTCACCTGATAATTAAGCAAATTGGTAAGCGGCCATTGTACCGGTTAGCCAGGCATCAGCGTGGCAAAGAAATACAAAACCGGCGATCACAATTTTGTCACAATCAATTCAATCCCCCCTACCCTCTCTCTCTTCTATCTTTCTTCTTTCTTCTTTCTTTCTTTTTCCTTCTTCTTTTCTTTTCCATATTAATATTTCATCCCATTTATGAACTGACCTGCAGAGTACATTTTGCCTAAACTCCCGGAAATCGAAACGAAGACTCATGCTGATAATAATAATAGGACTATTATGCATCGTGCGGCCGTAAATATGTGCGTATGGAGTACACAAGGGCCGGTTAGTCCAGGGCGTCTACCGCGGTAGGACTTCGCCTACTCCGCTATAACTTGTGAGAAAGGCAAACAATAATAATAATAATACACGGCATATGCTATATATAAAGGTAGTAGTATCGATATCTATTCTTCCTTTAGCCTATATATCACAAGCAAAAGGAGCCCCGTCCCCGTCTTTCTTTGAGTTCGACACAATATATGCATGTCCTAGATCCCTTGATCGACTCCGGCCGTCTAATTATAAGAGCAGAATATCTAAAAAACTGAACCAGAATATCTAAAAAACTGAACCAATTTGTGAGAAGTAACCGCAGAGAGCACTCATCGACTCTACTTCCGAAAGGTAGATACCCAAGATTGGAAAAAAAGAAGGCTCTTCTTCCTATGCAAAATAGAAAAAAGAATATATAAGTATCAAAAAGAGATCAGTATGAATAGGAAGAAGAATGGTAATAAGAAGCTGAATAAGAAGATATGTAAAATATATGCATGATAATATTCCCGCGAAGGAACCGATGGCGGTTATGAAAGTAACCCCACACCGGATTTTTTTCTGTAATTACACAACGATAATATACCGGAAAGAAAGCCAATAAATAGTAAAAGTAGTAATGAGAGGGAAAACAGCAACAGGAAACAAAAAACCAGTCAAACGGGAAGCCGGTAAAGTTGCATGCACACACGGGGTATCTCTAGCTCTCCTCCTCTTGCTCCTCCTCTTGCTCCTCCTTCTGCTCCTCCTTCTGCTCCTCCTCCTCCTCCGCCTCCTCCTCCCTGGAATTTTTGATGGTGGAAATGGAAATGAAAGACGGAAAGAAGAAAAAAAAGAAAAAAAAGGAGTAATAGTAAATAAAAATCGGTAATAGATAATGAATAAATAGCTTCGGGTACTAAAGTGATAAAATTTATAGACCACGGAAGATATAATAGGGTTGAAAGTTAGGCAGAAAAAGGTTTTTTTTAGAATGCTTCAAAATAACTAGAAGCCTGTGAAGAAGAAGCGAATACGCACAAAAGAGAAATATCCGAGGATTTGAGAGAAACATTACCATTGGAAGCACAAATTTTTAAGGCCAGTAGGGAAATAAGTAGGGGAAAAAAAAAAAAAAGTATATCTTGGTAACGAAATTAGCTAACTCGAAGGCACTAAGCATCGAGCCAACCTAGCTGTGAGAATGGTAAAAAGAAAAGGAGTGGCGATAGGAAGAAGCCAGAGCGTATAAGCTGTATCGGTAAACTGGTGGGGAAAAAAACGACAATAACGAGATAAAACCTGCAGGAAGCCCGACTTGCAAAACTGATAGATAATAATGATTTCCGTCGCACTGTGCATACCCTCGATGATTGGAAACATAAAAATCAAAATCAAACCAAACCAAAACGGAAAAAACAAAACCAAAAGGCCCATATCGATGAGTTCAGTAAACATTGCATTACAATAGACGGCGTGAAAGGCGAGAAAGCAAAGCATATGAGTTATACCTTTGAATGAACCTGCCCGGAAAATAGGTGGATGTAAAGTAGAAGAAAAAAAGAAAAAAAAAGAACCATCCGTACTCCGTAATATGTCTGGTGAGGTAAATGGAAGAGGTCGAAGAATCTGAGAAAACCGGAGAAGACGGGGGCGCTAAGATGTTGTGATATAATATTTTCTCGGGTGGCATTTAGTAACCAAAGCGATTGGCCAGCATTACCATATGGCGAGGGTGATCCAGACAAAGGAAAGATAGGGAACTCTGTTGAGGAGATATGGTGTAATAAGAGTGCTATTCAGGGTATGACCAGCATTGTCTTGGGTACGGTGTATCTTAGGCGTTAGACGCTATCGAATTCCTATCCGAAATCCCTCCTAGATCTCTCCAAGGCTCTCATTCAGATTAAGGAAAATATAAAGGACTTTAGGGAGGATAATTTTGTTCAATGTATTGGAATTTGCAACCAAGAGGGAGGTCGTAAATAATCAAAGCTTAGAAAAGGGCTCGGTTGGTGTCCCGGGAATCCAACTGAGGAGGGAATCATGGTGCAGGCTTCCTCTTCTTCTTCTTCTTCTTCTTCCTCGCGATCCTTTCTTTCCTAAGTTTGTATTTCCGCTTTATTTTGAGGGAAATCTGCCCAACATTCGTCACTCCGAGAGTGTCTGGAAATCCTGTCTAAGTGTTTCCTGGATAACTCCACTGAGTTGGATGTGGTTGTTGCATTTGTGATTTCCATTGTTGCGGTTGCTGCTGCTGAGGTTGCATGAAATGCTGCCCATACATAGCGGCTGGCTGGTAGTGCTGTTGTTGAGCTTGTGGGTGCATCTGATATCCTTGGGGAATTTGGGTAATATGGGGCTGAGTATGATGGGGTTGAGCATGCCCAGTTGGAGGAGGGGACATATGGGCTTGGGTATGGTGGGTTTGCGGTTGCCAGATTCCTTGCTGATGCATGTAGGCGGTGGGAGTTTGGTGAAGTTGATCGGCCTTGATACTCTGCATTCTGACAGGGGTTTGGGCGACAGGAAGTTGGTGGCCTTGAGTTTGCTGGTGGTGTAAGGTCGATATTTGTTGTGGGCTCATCATTGGGGCCTGCGTCATCTGAGGATGAGCTGGCATAGGGGCATGTTGGCCATGAAGAGACGTAGGAGGAGTTGGAATTTGCTGCTGGGTGCCCTGTCTGGCCTGTCCTTGACCCTGAGTTGGCATCGGTGGAGGGGACTTGGACTTCCAGTAGCTCTCATTGTACATCTGCGCTCTCATGACGCGCTGGGCTCCAAAATCTCTATTCCAAGTGGCAGCCTGGTGGCCCTGTTCAAGCAACTGCGAATGAGGGGTCGATGAAGTCCTGTCGACGTATGGAGGACCGGTGATCTCCTGTCGAGGCCTGGGGACGTTCGGAAACGCGTCCTTGATACGACTGTCGTCTGGAGTGAGGTGAATCATTGGCAGAGGGGCGAGACTGATTGGGGCAGGACCTCCCAACCCAGGCTGAACCATTTGAGGTTGTGGTTGTGTGTCGATGGTAACTGGGTCGTTGGTGTAGAGTGGTTCGGGGTGTTGGGCAGCAGCAGCCGCAGCTTCACTGGCCTGCTGTGCTCTCTGCTTTGCAGCACCAGGTCGTTTCTCACCAGCGGGATCCTCTTCAGTAAATCCTTGCTTCCGGGCCTTACTTTCCCAGTAGTCATCTCTGACCCTGCGACCGTTCACAATAACCCTGCTTCCAAATTGCCGGAACATGCTCTTAGCAGTTACAATTGCAATCTGTCTGGAGCGATAAGAGTAAGGTAGCAACTCTTTCTGGATCAAATCGTCCTTCTCACTTTGCGTAGCAATAATTTTATAGAGTGAACGGTTCTTGTTGAACAACAGATATGAATCACGATAACCTAATACTCTAGCACACTCGGTTGCAAGCATGAAGAGTTTCTCACCGCGTCCTGGTACCAGGAATGTCCGGCATTTGTATTCTCGACCATTCTTGAGATGCCCGGTGGGCATGACCTTCTTCTCGCCATCATCGTCAGTTTCGCGAGGAATGTATTCATCGCCCTCTTTTGTTAACTGGTCAGTGGTATGATCACGGACGGTAGGCAAAGCCTTGATGACGGGCTTTGCAGGTGTCGGTTTTGCCGTGGGAGCAACCGGAGTTGGTGTTGCTGGAACGACAGCTGGCACCTGAGCCGGGGTCTGAGGTTGTGGTACAGCTACTTGCTGCTGCTGTGGAACTGTCGGAGGGATGGTCAGGGGAGGGGCCTGAGGCTGTAGGGGGGTACTCAAGACCTGCTGGGGAGATGTTTGGGCAGAGTTGGTTCCTTTTGCCTTTGGCGGACGGCCGCGTTTCCGCTTCTGAATTTCGCTGCCATCTGCGAGGTCTCGGGAAGTCAGCATCGCTGCAAATATCAAGGGGATACCGATGAGGATACATACCTCGTCCTGCAGTCTCACTCAAAGAAGGATCTTTGTATGAATCCGGAGATCTACTCCGCTTGATCCCACGCGGACTGGTGTTCGACAAGACTGGATTCAACGGTCATCGTCAGTTTATCGTGTCATGATCATGATAGTAATGAGAATGCCAATAGTATTTTTCAAGACACGATCGGTGATTCCACTCAAGGCCTGAAGCAGTCAAGCAAGCGAAGAATCTCCTGCGACGCCTCCGTGGAAAGCACGTGTTTTTAGTGAAGCGAGAAATATCTAGGAATATGCATATGCATATGCTGATATTGATCCCCATCTATCTAGGGAATTGGATCCAAAACGTACCTGCAGGATTCAGCGTCGCCGGGTTTATAGTGCCGGATCCATCAAGCGATACTGTGTTCACCATCAACGGTGATGGCTGTGGTGTAAACAGATGCTGCTGCTGATACGTCGACGGCTGTGGCGGATTCATACTGGCTGCCTCGGTCTATCAAAGTCGGTTGGTCGCGAGCGATATATGATCGCTGCCCGAGGTTGGTGAAGCGCGACAAGGTAGGATGGGATCACGATCGAAAAGAAATCCCAACTTAGCCAGTCAGTGGTGATGGTTGTGACCAAAAGAAGGATAAGGGTGGACCCGATTTGCTGAGGCCGTCTGTAGCCTTCCGGTCCCGTCTGACGTCCCCTACCGCAACCACGTCCACAAGGAGGCGGTTTAGATGCAGCTACCCTTCTTCTATGAAACGTTATCGCGATAGCGAAATCAAACGAGAGAAAGGAACTAATTATCGATTCCACAGAAAAAAAAAGGTTTTAGAATTTTTTATTTTTTTTTCTGGGACCGAGCAGGCAAAGTAGTCAAGCAGGCAAGCAGGCAAGCAGGCAGGTCGCAGGACCGATCAAGCAGGAACACACAACGGGCAGGCCTGTCTGGAAAAAGTTAAGACGCGTTAGGGAGATGCGGTTGGAAACGAAACGTGCCTGTGCGATAGAGCGGAGGGTTATGGGTGGGTGGTGGGTGGTGGTGGTGGTGGTGGTGTATGGGATGGGATGGCTGGAAAGGATTGTGGAGGGGGACACAGTTTCTGTAACGCAGGCTTGAGCAACCGACAAGCAGCAAGAACAGCGACCGGGTGCAGCAATATTACCAAGCCAGTTCTGATTGAACGAGAAGGAGCAGCACAGGAAACCCCCAGCCAGAAAAGAAAGAGGGGACAGACAAACAAGCAGGATCAAAACGGGAGGGGATGGATGGATGGGGATGGATGGATGGTTGGCGGCTGGCGGCTGCGGACGATGGTTGGTTGACGGTCAAGAATATGTAATGTAAGTGATGAAAGGAAATAAAAGAAGAAAGTAATTAAAATGAATGAATGAATGATTGACTGAATGACTGACTTAACTGACCGAACTGAAAATGAATGAAAAGAAAACAAAGGAAAGCCGCCAGGATTCGATATTTCCAATTCTGCCAGTCAAGTTACCGTCAGGATCTCTTGCTCGAGAAAGAGAAAAAAGAAAAAGGCGCAGGCCGGACGGACTTCTTTCGTCCAAAATATCGACTACGAATGAACGACGACAGCTTCCCAGCCAGAAAATGAGAGACACGAACGGCGTCTGTACATAAGTATGGATACCTACTCTCGATGTATGGCTTTTCAGGGAAAACGTTGCTGCACAAAGTCACGGTTTGGAACAAACTCGTCTGGTCTGTACGTATGGCGCACCTAGTTCGAGTTTGGTTCTGGGAACCTTTGCACACCACTTCTCCACCGGCTTCCCTGTATCTTATCCAGCCAGCCGGGGCCGCCTGATGCACCAAGTACAGTTCCGTACACAGCAGCAAGCAAGTCTGCAGCGTGCAGGCCAGAGGTGCAGCAACTATAACTGCCCAATCGATAATTCGAGGTGAGATAGCGAAACGCACACACCACCCTCCAACTGCAAAAGCGGAGGCTGATGGCTGGAACACGAAATAAGGAAAGAGGGGTGCGGAACGAGAATGAGGGTGTGCTCTTCCACACAGAAAGAAGAAATATCCAGCGAAGGAGGGGGTTCGAGGTGACGGCTTATTGGGCTGGATGGGCAGGGAAAAGGCTGAAATGATGGGGGAACGAGGAATTAAAACAGACAAGAAATGAAAAGAGGGAGGGGTGTTAACTCTCCTCCTCGCTGTGTCCGTTTATGCTTTTTCTTGAATGTCTGGGTCTTGAAGTCCGTTCAAGAAGAGGGAGGGGAGGAACCATGAGGAGGGGTGCAGGCTAGGGCAGAGACAAGGTCAAGGAGGGGTGTGACCATCTTGCATCGGTACGTACCTCTAATCTATCTCTATCAATCTATCTCCAAGGAATCCTATCGTCGATACCGATCGATATTGAAACTTTGGCTATCAAAACTGAAAAATAAAAGATGAAAAGAAATGAAAAGAAATGAAAAGAAATAAAAAGGAATAAAAAGGAATAAAAAACCTCGTCACCGTTGTCTTTTTGAGGTTCCGTTCGGGTCGAGGTTTGATGTATCAAAAGCACGCAAACCAAATCGTCTTTCGTCTTACTAGTGTGGCTCTTAACCCGAATGGCGAGACTTCAAGGGAATGGAGGAGGAATCCAGAAAAACGGGCTGATATCTTTTTTTATCTGGGACCTCGTTTCCTTTCTTCCCTTTCTTGTGCTACTTCGTCCTTTGTTACTATGGCTGACTATCTCGATAAAAAGAATGGAGATAAAAAAATTTTGTCTAGATCGTCTAGCTCGATCCCGATATGACAGACGGACGGAAGGGTTGTGGATCTTTAGTTCCCCCTAGCTTGAACTGCGCTGTTGGTACTGTTTCTTCGTGACCTGACTGACGTTCATCACGGCCCTACCACGATATAACCATGCCGACAGCCATCCCAAGAAAGAAAAAACCACGAGATCGATCTTTGATAATAGTGATAATGATGTATTCGCTGGCTGTAGATGGGATAGGATGGGTGAGGGAGAAAACCTTAAGACGAACCTTTTGGGATTTTCTTTTTCTTCGCACTCGGGCTCTGGGTAACG